TCATCAAAAAATGCGATTCGTTAATTTTATGTTTTCTCGACGTTTTAAGCCATTCTGAATCGAATGAGACCAAATTTGGAAAAAGTATGTGTGTGTGTGTGCGTGTATGTGAACAGATTTTTTGACGTAAATCGCCGTTTCCTCAAAAACGATTGGACCGATTTCAAGAATTTAAAAGCCATTCGATGTACTTCGATGAGGACTAGCGTTTCTGAGTTTTGTGCGACGTTCGGCCAAGCTGTTTATTTGTGAATCCCGCAATTCTGAATCGATTTTGAAAATTCAAAAACCGTTCGATAGATATTAGTTGGGAATCGTGCTTTAATTATTATTTTTTTGACGGTAGACACCATAGTCTTCTAGATCATACTAAAATATTACTGCCCTACGACAACTCGTTTAGCTTTAAAAATTCGTCAAAGTTTGCAAAAATTAGTATGGTCTTTTTGGCGTCTGTCAAAATTAGAACTTTCATCGAGGTTTGCTCAAAAACGCCTGAACCGATTTCAGAAATTTTAAAACCATTTGATGTATCTCGATGAAAATTATCGTTTCGCAGTTTTGTGCGACGATCGACCGAGCCGTTTCTTTGTAATTTGGAAAAAAGAGTTACATTTTTCGTCCACATTTAAGCTGATACTACCGAATCAATTTAAAACTAGCTGTAAGTGGAATTCTGTCTTAAGGCAATTAGGGCATCGTGCCTTAAGGCAAATTGCTGGAACTTCCCGTACCAAAAATTATTTTTTTTTTTAAAACGATTAACATTTTTGAAAAAAAATTACTTTTAAAAAATAAGATTTTTGAGAAACTATAAATTGGACAAAAATTAGTTTTTCTTGAAAAAAAAATTTTTTAAAAAAAAATTTTTTTTAAAAAAAATTTTTTTTTTGAAAAAAATTTTTTTTTTTTTTATTTTGACATATTGTGGAAGATCTGAACTTTTTTTTCAAAGCAATCGTACTGCTTTAACTACATAGGGACAAAATATAAAGCGCGTAAGCGCCGCGTCGCTGTCTAACGCATAAGCATTGGTACGGAACCGATAGGAATGTTAACAAAATGTATACTTATTGTTAAAATCTCTATAAAATGTCTGATAATTTGATGTGCATATGTCTAATGATCATTTTTGACCGCCAAATGGCTCATTTTTTTACTTTTTCCTCTATATCTCCGAAACCGCTGGACCTACCTTCATGAAAGTTGTATCGATTCTTCATCTTGTCAATACAAATAAAATGTTTTTTGAATTATTAAAATCGGGCGCTCCGTTCTCTTAAAAACTGAGTTACCGTTTTCGGAACTTTTTGCCCCGTATCTTCGGAACGGCTTGACCTGCCTTTGCCAAAAACTAATCAGCACGTCTCCTTATCAATACGGATCGAATGTTTTTTGAATTATTCAAATCGGTTGATCCGTGTTCCCGAAATCGTCGACGAAAATTTGTATCCGCACATACATACACACACATACATACATACACACACACATACACACACACACACACACACACACACACACACATACATCCATTTTTTCTAAGGTATGCCAAAATGTTCAGAAACCTCTGAAACGTAAAGATATATAAAAATTTTTATTTTCGATTTTTTTGCGATTACTATAACTTGCCCTACGGGAAGTTAAAAATCAAAAACTGTTCGAAAGATATTAGATGGGAATGATACTAATTAGTTTTAGGTGAAAATTTACCGAGGCGTTTTCTTGTAATTAACACTTTTAAAAAAAATTAAGCCGATGCCTTACCACAAGTAGTTTAATTTTAAAAATTCATCAAAGTTTGAGAAAATGAGTAGTTCTTTTGACATTTGTTAAAATTAAAATTAGACGATTTACTTGGTATAACGATAGAGTACTTGGTCTTAATGAACATGATAAACAATTAAAGTCCTACAAAAAATTGGCTCAATTATAAAAATTATTGATTTTTGAAAATTTGCTTTTAAAAAACACTCCGACCGGGTTGACGTGTTCGATTTTCCATAAATCCACTTTGAATACTTTTAACTACTCCTAAATTAATTTATCTATCATAGATTAAGTCGATTATTTACACAAATCGGGAAGTTCATGTAACTTGCCTCAAGGCAAAATACCAATACCAACTAGTTTCTACAATGTACGATGACCGATTACAATTATTAAATCATCTTTTATCTTCAGTATTCAAAATATAACAGTTTCAAAAAGCGCAGCGCAAAAAGCGCAGCCAAGCATAAGCCTTTCAACAGCCAGCCTTTTAATGGGCTTTTAACAAGTTCAGAGATATTGCGACTACAAATCAAATTTCTACATGATGACTCCTACAAATTACACACTTTTGTAAAAACGTCGGACATTATTTTTTTTAGTTTTGCGGCCCATCTATAAAGTATAGGTATGCTTTTCCATTATAAATATTACTTTTTATTATAGATGGTACCTCCTTTACCGTAGACCACGTAATTTTTTTCGCTGGCGTGATTCCCTTCAGAGTTGTCATGGACCCCTGGAGTACACTTTAGAAATCACCAATCTAAACAAATATACTAAAATATCAGAGACCTTTGAAAAGTGGTTGATTCACAAAAGTTCATTAAATTTTGAAATAACCGGCTGGTTTTTTAGGACATACAAGTATGTTTTTGTGCACTATAATTTATATAATTATAATGCACAATAAGTCTGTTTAGAAAATACTAATTGGTAATCGCATTGATAAGTTTTTAGTGAAAGTGAAAATTTTAGTTATGAAAGAAATAGTTAAAGTTTTCATCTAAATAGCTAGGTATCAATTCTTATTAATCAAGTCGATGATTCACATTCAACGGGAAGTGCATTCAGCTTGCCTTAAGGCACCTGCTCGAGAATGTTTTTTCCCCCCGCCCTGAAAAACTGCTTATCAACTAATAGACACCTTAAAATAATATAAAATAATATAATCAAATTTCATAATATTTTTAAGCGATAATTTAAGATGATGGCGGTCATTTCGTATAACCACATAGGTTGTCAAGTCTACGTGGGTTTGTTTGTGCGTATTGCACATGAAGCGGAATGTTCTCGCCACCTGCCACTTTTTTGGGTAATCGAGTTTCAACTAACAGACATCTTTATCCGAAATATTTTAATCACAATTCTTATAATCCTTAAGTGATAATTTACGACGATGGCGTTCATTTCAATTGGCCGCTGGAGCTATTTATTATGTACGTGTGTGTGTATTGCACATAATGCAAGATGGCGAAATTTGTACAATAACAGTGCGCATTTCCTTTTTTCCTCGTAATGACCTGATAATAATACAATATTAATAAGCGAAAACAATTTAATTGCACATGTGGTGCAATCGACACGAAACGCAGTCGATGCGCATGCAATGCAACAGACACGACCAGGAAACAATATTGCACACGAGAAATAGAAATAAGAAAATATAAACACAAACACTTAAATACACATAGAACATATATATTATTATTGTTGACGCTCTGTACGAAGACAAGGACATGGTATACTAGCAACAGTTTTTTAATTCCATTCCACACATTTTTCTCTGTTATTGCCTTTCCTTCAAAATCGTTCATCATCTACATTATTTTTCCTCGTTCCAGTACATATAGTAACTCAAAGTTTTACATCACTTTTTCCAATTTGCATCAATCCCAGTTTTCTTCAGACGTTGGAGTCCTTTACCTTCTCAATCTTGCGTAATACTTTTTCATTTGGTGCATTGTTGTTACTGTGCATTTCTCTCCGGGAAGTGTAGTTTTTGTTGGCTTTCCGTAGAGGATATGTTTATGGTCCCTAGAATGCAATACGCCAAATATTCAAGCATTTTTTCTAATTGCTCAACCAAGTTTATCAAACCTAGATTTAGAACTAGAGTTTTGTTATTCGATTTATAGTAGAGGTTTTTCGCTGCTAAAATTTTATTTCTACTTATCGAGTTTAATTTTGCTAGTCTGTAAAGTGCTCTTTCCCTTTTCTTATTGGTCAGCAGACATTAGGTTTTCACGTGAGTAATGTTTTTTTTCTTTTTCTTTTCACTTTCAGCAGTACTCTATATATCTATCTTCTTTATTCGAAAACGTATTTATCCATTTTATATTCTCCAGCCCCATATCTAGAATGTCAAAGTAGTTTTTGTCAGCCTTTCCATATGCCATATCTCTGATCTGTTCGGAGCTATTCTCGAAATATAACTATTTTTATATAAAATAGAAGGTTATCAAACATTAGTCCAATTATTAAATAAAAAGCCAAACTGAAGTGATTTAAATAAACGCATAACATACGTTTCGAGTCCTCATCAATTTCAACATCAATAGGAATTCAATATAAAATCGGATACTTAGTTATTTCAAAAACTGCCATTTTCTGCACATTTAGCTCGGTATCTTCGAAACGACTGGACCTGTCTTTGCGAAAAAGTAATCACCACTTCTCTCCTTGATTACGAACTTGATTCATTCAAATCGGATGCTCCGTTCTCTCAAAAACTTGATTTCTATTTGCTGCACTCTTTGCTCTGTATCCCCAAAACGGTTTGACTTGCCTTTACCAAAAACTAATCAGCACATCTTCCTATCAATAGCATTCGAATGTTTTTTGAACCATTCAAATCGGTTGATTCGTACGCCCGAAAACGTGAACAAAAAATGCGGACACACAAAACACACACACACATCCATTTTTTCTGAGGTATGCCAAAATGTTCAGAAACCTTCAACACGTAAAGATATGCCAAAAATTTCATTTTTAATTTTTGGCCCTTTACTACAACTACCCTAAGGGAATAATAAAAATCTATAAAAAAACGAAAAATTAGAATAATGAAATGAAAACTCTCACAAACTAAACAGATTGTTATTTTATATCAAAATCAATTCCAGTAAAAAAATATTATAAACCCTTAAATTATTGCTTATTTCCCTAAATGACAATTTAGAACTTCCAAACTACTCCGATCATCAAATTATTGAAGTTTTTATTTCTAGAGAACAATACTTGCTAAACGTATTCGAGGTCGTAGTGTCCACACTTGAAGGCAAATTACAGAGGATAGAAAATCTGGACAAGGCAGTCGAGCACCTCATGCGCAGGGTGGAACTTCTGGACTCAAGGGTGTCAGATAATTTAGGTAATTTTGTTAAATACCACTCCTGCCTGGTTATCATTTTACTATCTTATTGAGATATAAAAATAGTTACTTGTAAAATAAATTATAGGAGAACGATCATTCAACTCAATTGGGGTAGCAAAATGGTTTCAGTATGCCTGCACACCAATCTATCGATTATTTCGAATACCAAACATTATACTTTAGCACTAGTTTCTGTACTAGTTTTGCATTAAATATTTCCACAATAGTGAGCCCCATTTTTTCGGGTTGTGCACAACCTCTAGAAAATGTTTTGGAATTTTTAGGTATTATATTTTATTATTTTAGAAAAAACCGACTCCGTGATTACAAAACTGAGGTCTTTAGACACGAGGCTGTTTCAACAATTGCCGCAGAGAGGTTCCAAACGGCATTCTAGCGTTAGAGACAAAAAAAATGTGGAAAATGGAGAAAATGCGGAAATTTCAGATGCAAATGAAGAAGGCATGGATAGTTCTGGTAGTAACATCAACTTGGATGATAAATTAGTTAATCTAGATAGGAAGGTGAGACAAGTATAATTTCAGATGAAAATTATAAATGCTTAGCACACAAGTTTGGCAGTTGAAGCATATCTATTTCATTCAAAACAATTTTATTCAGAAAATTATTCAAAATCTTCCATACCTATCCAACATTATTCAAAATCATCAAAAACGATACAAAATCATACAAAAAGATAAAAAATCATACAAAATGGTCCAAAATATTCCAAAGCAATCCAAAATTATTCAAAAAGATTCAAACTTATGAAAAACAATCTACATAATCGGCAACTCATCAAAATTATCCAAAACTAATCCCGATCCAAAATCCACAGCAATTCGATATCATCCAAACTAATAACTCACCCAAAACGATTCCAGAATATCCGAAACGATTTAAAATAATCCAAAATCAGCAAAAACTGCACAAAAACATTAAAAACATACTAAATAAATAATTATATATGATAATATTCTTCGATGGTAAAATCTAGAGTGAAAACCTGATCCTTATAACTAGTAAAATTTTTGACAACAAATACTAATTATTTTTGAATCAGGTGAGTGACATCTCGACGCGTTTGGCAAGTCTAAAAACGCAACTTGACAGCAACTTACTACCCCTGGATGATATCAACGCAGAAGCCAGTGAGAAGAAGCCCGTCAGCATGAATGTCTTGGATGCAACCAGAGCTATGAACACAGAATTGATGAACCATGTTACAAAGGTGATAATAAAAATAATGATACTTAATCACGATTCGAACAATTGAAATATAACTCTTCTAATTCTAACTCGATTCTAAAAAAATCTACTCACAAATATTTTTTTATGAAAAATTACAGAATGTTTGAAAATGAGTTTCAACTGGTACCAACATGAAAAATTTATTAACTTGTACCTAAACTTGATACATAATGATGCGATTTTTTATTGTTAGAACAGAAATTATTTGAACTAATATCACTGCAGTAGAATTAAATAGCGCCGGACGTAGAACCTTGAAAAATACCTTTCTAAAATTGTTAATATTAACGATAAAAATAGGTGAACAATTATTTTTGGCAAAGGATAATGCCAATGTTTATAATGTACTTCCGTACTATAGATCATATCTTAGAATCCAAACGAATTACTTGCCTTATTAGGTCGTTCATCAATTGGTATCTAAAATTAGACTTCCAGGAAGCATGACTGTACTGATAGGATAATTGATTCTAGCGTTGTTAGAGATAGATAGAATTCTACAGACGTCACCCTCAATATAAAAATCTTAACAATTATTTTTATAATTAATAAGATTTTTATCTTACAGGAGATTGGAGGACTAAGAGCAGCAGCGGACGGCGTGGACAGAAAACTACAATTCCATGTCAACTTGGTCTCAGAAAACTTGGCCAAAGTTTTACATCTGGTAAATAAATATAAACTACTCTCTTATATTACTATTTTCTTGAGATAAGATAATTTCAAAATAAATTTAAAATATTTTTGTACATATATATTTGGTGCGCAACTAAGTTCTCGCTGGTATCGATGAAAATGTAATTTTATTATAAAAAAAACTGTTACATCTGATTCATTCAAACTAATTCCCATCGCTAGATACATCTTTTGCCCATCTTTCTGGCAGAGCTCGAATACCTTGACGCCAGAAGTGGTAGTCTTTTGAGGCTATCCACGAATCAAGTCATTTTCTGATGTCTTCGTATAAGTTGAACTGCTGATCAGCCGGGTCATGTGCCATCGAACGAAACAAGTAAAAAGCGTTCCCAAGTAGGTTTTAACAGACTTGAAAACGTGAAGCCGAGCGTTGCCATGTAGTAAAATCACTCTGCTCGTATTGTGGCCGTTTTTCGTGCAGTGCTCGGCTAAATTGCATCAATTGAGTTCGATACCGTTCTCCAGTGATGGTTTCGCTCGGTTTCAACAGCCCATAATGAATAACACTGACCTGGTCCCACAATGTGTAAAGTTAACCTTCGCAGTGAATATTCGGTAGAGCCGAGATTTTTTTCTCTTTGGATGGCTGTAATTCATTCATTTTTATCACCTGTCACGATGCGATGAAAAAACCCTTCCTTTCTCGCCACTGGTGCAGTTGGTCACAGGCGAAAAAACGACGCTCGACGTCTCATGGCTTCAACTCACAAGTTTCTTGCTTCTGAATAGTCCCCAACGCATGCAATCGCTTGAAAATGGCTTGACGGGTAACTTCTAATTCTAGAGCAAGCTCTTCTTGAGTTTGGCATGAATCCTCTTCGAGCAAGGCCTTCAATTTAGCGTCTTTGAAGATTTTGGACCCTCCTTCACGAGGGCTGACGTCAAAATCAAAATCAACGTTTTTGAAGCGGCAAAACCCATCACGGCATGTTGTTTCGCTCAGAGTAGCATTTCCGTAGCTCTCGATGCTCTTGAGCTGTCGTTTTTTTTCGAATGAAAGAAGAAAATCGACACTTCTCGCAAATGACGATTGTTTGGCATAACATTAGACATTTTCACTTGATCAGAAGTATATATTGCGAAAACTAAATCACTTACGTGTCGCATCAGTTTCTTTGTCATATGTCTAAGCTTGGTTCATGACGTTTTGGATTTGTCAAAATCGACCAACCCTTACTGCTAAACCATATACTGACAAACAGCGAGAACTTAGTTGCGCACCTAATAGAAATTTATCAAATATCCTGCTGCTTACTGCCTTATATTACTACCCGATTAATATAAGATAATTTGCTACGAATTTGCAATCGAAAATGATCTAGTATACAGCATAATCTAAAAGTATTGAATATAGGAGAAGCAGGATCTAATTACATAGTCTCATCTTACTGTAAGATAAAGGAGCATGCTTAAAAAAATACAGCATGATGTTACCTCAATGTACCCAATCGACTTCTTCTGATGTCGCTCTCTCAGCATATTTGTAAGCCGGGTAATAAGTTCAAAGTGAAAGCTTATGTGTAATGAAATATTCATGCCAAATTTAAACCACGGATAGGTTTTGGTAAAAATATAAGATTTAAAATGTATTCTAGAATAAGCTAGCTTGCTACTCGCTTAAGGTAACAGATTTTGTTTTGATTTTAACTGACTAGTTCTAATGTAAGATAACAATGCAAGTTTATCCAAGAATAGTTCTATGTATATAGTAATAATTTATTTTTATTATGTAATCCAGGTGACAGAAGTACACGAATCAGTGGTCACGGACAATCTACCAGTCTTTAACCGCAATGGGAACGCGAATGTTACGAATATAGGTGAGACACTATTATAAGATTGTTTATTCAATCTAACCATACTCACATAAACACATACACATATCTATCTATATATAAATATATATCATATTTTTCACAACCTGAAACTGTATCATTTTTATACCTCGAATGAAAAATTTTTGTGAGTTTAATTAAACTCTATATAATGAAAAATATAACTGGTTGGGATTGGTATTTTGCCTTGAGGCAAGTTACATGAACTTCCCCAATGTGTATATAATCGACTTAATCAATAAAAAATAAATTAATTTATGAGTGATTAAAAGTATTCCGAGTGCATTTATTACACATAATTGAAAACGAATAACTCTCGGAGTATTTTCTTAAAGCAAATTTTCAAAAATCAACAATTTTTATAATTATACCAGTATCCGTAGGACTTTAATGGTTTAGTATATTTAATAGGACCAGGTACTCTATCATTATACCAAGTAAATCGTCTAATTTTAATTTTAACTAACATCAAAAAAACTTATCTTTTTCTCAAATTTTGATGAATTTTTAAAATTAAACTAATTGTCGTAAGGCCGTAATATTTCAGTAAGTTCTATAAGACCATGATATATATCGCCAAAAAAAGTTCCATGAAAATCGGCTTAAATTTTTTTTTCAATAGTTAATTACAAGAAAACGGCTCGGTGGATTTTCACCTAAAACTAATCAGTATCATTCCCAACTAATATCTTTCGAACAGTTTTCGATTTTTTGAAATCGATTCTATAGTATAAACTTAAATATGGACGACAAGTTTAACACATTTTTTCAAATTACAAAAGAAACTGCTTAGCCAATCGCTGCACAAAACTGAGAAAATCTAATCCACACCGAAATACATCGATTTGCTTTTAAATTTTTGAAATTTGTTCAGGGGTTTTTGAGCAATCGACGATGAAAGTTCTAACTGTGACAAACGCCAAAAAAAACTATTCTAATTTTTGCAAGGTTTGACGAATTTTTAAAATTAAACGACTTGTCGTAGAGCTGTAAGACTACGGTATCTACCATAAAAAAAAATTCTTAAAAATCGTCGAAATTTTTTTTAACACTTTATTACAAGAAAACGGCCCGGTCGATCTCTACCAAAAATGCATCAGCACGCTTCCAAACCAATATCTTTCGAACGATTTTGAATTTCCAAAATCGATTCAGAACTGCAGGGTAAAACGTGGACGAATTTTTTTTTACTTTTCTGCTATTTACAAGGAAACGGCTTGGCTGAACGTTGCGCAAATTGATAAAGGCTATTCCTCATCGCGGTACATCGAATGGCTTTTAAATTTTTGAAATCGGTCCAGCCGTTTTTGAGAAAACGTCGATTTACGGCAAAAAATCTGTTCACACACACAAACACACTCACACATACTTTTTCCAAATCTGGTCTCATTCGATTCAGAGTGGCTTGAAACGTCGAGAAAACATGAAATTAGCGAATCGCGGATTCTTTTTTGAAAACATAAACTTCTCTTTCGGGAAGTTAATAAAGTATACTGTAAGCAGTTATAAGTCGAAGGGATGAATAAGTATATTAAATATGATGATATTATTCTTATTTTATATTTTTTATTCGAAATGATCATTAGGTCTTCAACAAGTCTGTATCATAACTAAATGTTTTATAGGAAACTCCAAACAAGCAGCAACGTCCAGATCGGATGACCAAGTCACAATGGCAGACAGAATTGGGCACAGGATGGACGAAGTTTTAGATTTGGTGGTGGATACTAAGACAACATTGGACAACCTGGTTCCGAGAACTGGAGAACTGTTGACTCAGACTTTGAGACAAGAAAGAGCTATTGGACAAGTTCATCAGGTTAAAGAAAAATAAAAATATAAAATATTGATAATGCTGTACCCTAAAGTAAATCAAAGTTTATAATGAGCTAGGCCAAAAAAACTCTCGACATAGTTAATATTTAAACATAACTTTTCATAACTTTATTATCTTATATTTAGGATCTCCGTGCTAAAGCCAACCAGATCATATCCAATTTAGACATGGTGGAGAGGAGATTGAGGAAACAGGAACAACAACACGCAGCAAATTCTTTGCCTGTACCTGCAGAACTTCTATTGGATCCGACCATCGATCGACTGGTTGAATATGGACAGACAACTTTTGATGATCACGACTATACTATAGGTAACCAAAATTTTAGCCAAATAATTGCTTGAGTTTTCGGGGCATAGAACTAAGGGCAATATAACTAATTTATGACATCAATTAATTCAAGGTTAACAAAAATAAGTGATTTCTTTCTGTTTATCACTTTTAATAAATTTTGCGCAAAAAACTGTTCAAGAATTATAAAGAAAATTTAGGGTATGACATATGTTTTTCGGAACAGTTTATTTCCAATCCTGATAAATGCGATATCTAGTTATGTTTTTTTCAATTCTCAATCAATTAATTGAGAAGCAAATTATCACATTATTTTCTTCTTTTTCCAGCTGGAACAACAGAATCGCCACAATCCACAGTAACACTCCAAACTTCTTCCACCCAACACCATTCGACAAGTTCCAGTGCAAACCTCAACTCTGCCACATCCGGCAATACTGCTGCCAACTCTACATCTAACAATGCGAGCAGTGCTACTAGCAGTAAAGCAAACATACCGAGAAAAGGTGGAATTATTTTCCCTTCAGTGAAAAATAAGCCAACGTTAGTTAATTCGACTTTCGCTGCTGCAGCTAGTGCGGATTCCATCAACTATCGGGATGTTAAGGTAAAAGATATAAATTTAAATTTATATATTTATGCTAATGGCAGATGATAAAGTTTTTCTTTAACTTCAATATGTTTGTCACAAACAAGAATCTTTCTGCAACAAAATCCAAACACTGTTTTAGACATTTTAAAATAGTTTCTAAATATTTGAAATTAATAGGATTTATTTAAATTAATCAGACCCTTTTCTAATTTTTATGATCTTTACGATATTGGCGATTTGAAATACCATATTTATATATAATATACAAAAGAGGATCGTTTAAGTTAGAACACTTATAACTTACGAACGGCTGAACCGATTTAGATGAAAATTGGCACTCTTTTACTGTTTTCATTCTATTTCAAAATTAATTAATTATAAACTATCAATGTAGATAGTGCCATTGCCCATTCGTATAAACACTAAAGTGAACTATAAAACTCAGTATGGTTGACATATCATATTGTTCTCAAACACGATGCACTGAAAGAATTCATTTGTATAATTATATACTCATTGGTATTTATAAAACATTTTCTAGATTTTTTTTTATTTATGTGATTTAAAATCAGACCCTAAATTTGGTATCGATCAAAGAGACATTTTGTCGAATAACTTATTCCCAGTTATGATTTCCCTGAATTTATCGAAAAATGGATAGTAATATATGAACGTCCGGTGTTAAAAGTTCCACCACCAAAGTGTCAAAAACCAGTAAAGCTAAGCATTGTTTAACAACATTATTTCAAAGTGAAGGGAAAAAGATATATAACAAAGCTATTTTGAAAGACAGCAAAAAAAGCATATTTTTACAATGATAAAGTAGCTGGTAGTCAGATAATTGTTCGTTTGAAATATGCCATTTGTTGTGATATAGTTGGTTTGATTTTCATAATATAATTTATATTTGCACAAAGACAAATTGGACCTGCTCTTCATATATACTTTTTATTAAATTTACTTTAATTTATCGAATGTTACTTGAAATTTTTCAAAAAGCAGTCCAAAGAAGAAATACTTAATTCAATTTCTATCTCTCCTCGCAGAAATTTGAAAATTTTGTATAAGCTCAGTAGTATTATTTACAATTATACACAAAATCCAGCATCCAAAAAGGATCTGAAAAACTTGAAACGTAATCAAAAACTCGAAAGACCAAAAAAGACTGGGATTGGATTATACCATGTTTTCTATAGAAAGTTTTCTATAAAACTTCCAGTTTGATTGTATTGACAAAATATAGACAAACTAATGGTTTTTTTTTGTTTTTATAATACCTCATTGTATATAGCATTCAAACAACACATTCTTATACACTTAAAGTATTAATGTTTTTGATTCTCTAGAAATTGTTTAGAATATACCTTACTTAGCAAAACAACATTTGCCGGGTCAGCTGCTATATATGCAAAAGAGCAGCGTGCAGAGAACGACTTGTAATGAAAAACACAAAATGCTAATTTAGATTTCCATATTTTAAATTTTTTTTTAATTATAACACACTGATGATGAGACAAACCTAGTCTCGAAACGTTTGTGAAAATTATTATTTAATAAATTAGTGCAAGAAGAGTGTTGTTTGTTCATATTTCCAAATTAATATCTATTATCCACTCAGAATACATTTGTTATATATATATATATATATATATATATATATATATATATTTCATATCTCAGTCAGACAGGGGTGTCTGGTATGAGAGATTATGATACAATTTTCATATTTTATATTTACATATCATTTGTCAATTTCATTATACAAAAATATAATATTTATTATAATTAAAATATCTTTGAATACCTATTCCATCTTCAATCTCTTTATTTTTCTTTTCAAATTATTGTCGTCACTGGTATTCTTAATATCGGTTGGCAGTTCATTATATATTTTACTTGCGCTCCATATCACATTTCCTCTTAATTGCTTCTTTATATTAATAATAATGTGGAAATTTTCGTGTTGTCTAGTGTAGTGTTATATCTTGAATTGTGTCCATTGTTGTACTTGTTTTAATTCTGTTATATTTCATTTTGTGTATTAATTTGCATTTCTCTATTTTAATTATGTTGTTTAGTGAATGAATATTGGTTCTGTTTGTAAGTTGGTGGGTATTAAATGTGGAAAATTATGTGATATTATTATGGCTTTGTTTACTATTCTCTGTCTATCATTTAAGTTAGCTTTAGTTGTTTGACTCCATTATTATATAATGTTAATGTCTGACTTTCTATATTACTTTGTTATTCAACAACTTCTTATTTCGTAAATATTTGACTCTCTAACTCATTTCAAATTGTCCAGTAGGGTAATTTATAGTAATCACAAAAAATCAAAACTGAAAATGTTTATAAATCTTTGCGTTTCAAAGGGTTTCTGAACATTTTGGCATACCTAAAAAAAATATGCATGTGCATGTAGTTTGTAGATGCATATTCAGTTACAAAATTTCGACCACTATCCCGACAGCATAGATCAACCGATTTAAATGACTCGAAAGACATTCAATTCCTATAAATGAGCATAACGACAGCATAAATCAACCGATTTAAATGACTCAAAAGACATTCAATTCCTATAAATGAGATGTGCTAATTTTGGCAAAAGAAGGACCAACCTTTTCGAAGATAGGAGGCAAATGGTGCCAAAAATAGCAATTCATTTTTTGAGAGAACAAAGTGTGGAATTGAGTGATTGAAAATGCATTTTATTTGTATTGATAAAATTAACTGATTAAATTTATAATTTTGTTTTCAAAAATTTTAAAACTCTCAAGAACCTATTTTTTAGTTTTCCAAAAAAGTTTTTTTTAAAAAAATAATTTCGGTTATGGGAAGTTCCAAAAATTTGCCTTAAGGAACGATCCCATGCACCAATAGTTTATTTTTTTTAAATAGAGTTTTTTAGCTGGAATTGTTTCCATTCTTGACTTTTTTATTTTAAATTTGCTACAAATATGTGTACACGACAAGCTAGTCGCACAAAATAAATAATCGACTTAACCAATAAGAATTCATATTGACCCCTTTGAATCAAATTTTCAACTAAAATCTAGTCATTGCTATTTCTAATTAATATCTTTCAAACAGACATATAATATATGTAATTGTATTAATGATGATGCGCATAAAACCGTCTGTATGTCTTAAAACGAGGCTTATTGAAGGAAACTTTAATTAATTCAACATTCAACCACTATTAAACTCTAATATATTAGAATATTCTCTATAGCCATATTAAGTTCCATTAAAAACATTTTGACATTTAATAACAAACCAACGGCTCGACCAATATTTGCCCAAAAGTAATAAGCCCGATTCCCAATAAATATCTTTCAAACAGTTTTTAAATTTTTAAAATTGGTCAAAAGTTTTTGGCACGACGTGACCGATAAATTTTGCACATTTGCGCTAATTGAAAAGAAACGGCTTTGTCTGATAATCGGGCAAAATTAACTAATGAGTATTTATATCGATTTTACTCGAAGGGCTTATTATAAATTCTTGAAATCGATAAGAAGGTCAAACTTTGTTCAATACACATGTTTTATCCAAATTTGGTGCCAAACTAATCAAATTGTCTTAAAACGTTGAGCAACCATAAATTTATCAAATTGGATTTTCTGGCAAAAATAAACAAAGGAAATTAAAATCTCTTGCTGCTTATTGGAAGCTATAAAACACTAGGAACTGCAAGAAGTGAGAATGAAGATACTTTCCATTGTCCTAATTTGTAAAAAAACTATAATATATTAATAAGATTAGATTAGTAATTTTATAAAATCAGAATGTTTGCATAAAACACCACAAATAAGATATTATTTTATCCCATACCTATCATTTGAATAATTTAAATTCATTATTACTACTTTCAGGGCTACTCCTGTGTGGATTTGCTCAATGCAGGCATGAAGGACTCAGGAGTGTACTACTTGCAGATCCGTGGAACCACTTACTGGTTCCTTAAAGTTTTCTGTGAACAGCAAATTTCTGACGGAGGATGGACGGTACGATAAAATAAAATATATTATAATATTCCAGCTGATATTGTAACTCCTGAAGATACAATTTTTAAATGGACTTATTTACAAAATCTTTTCTTACGATAATCAAGAAGTGACATAACTTAAATTTTCTCTTCCAATTGATCTTTTCCAATGCTCATTTTCAGGTTATCCAAAGACGTGACGATTTTGGTGGCAGCGGAGAGGGATCTCGGGAAAACTTCAACAGAGATTGGGCCGATTACAAAAATGGTTTTGGAGATCCAGCAAAGGAATTCTGGTTAGGAAACGAAAATATCTACATGCTCACCAATAACGAGGACTACGCTTTAAGAGTTGAGTTGGAAGATTTTGAAGGAAATAAGAGGTAAGGAGGAGAAAATAGAGAAAAAAATATATGGTTATGAATAGGAATATAAATGGTTTTTGGTGCTGAATTGACAAAGTGATTTTAGTTTAAAAGGAATAAAATTGTATGCAAATATGTGTGTTCTAAAAAGATTCCAAAACACTTAATGCATATATCTTACCTTATCGCCATTTACCGTTTTATATTTGTCGCTCACTTTTCCCATCAAGATGACGGTTTGATCAAAACGTACAGCCATCTTACTTTTTCTTACATCGTAATATCCATGCAATATCTTTTGTTTCTCTCGCGTAACAAAATATACTTAAAGATGACTTGTCTTGTTATGATATTAATATTATTTGCAATAATTGTAGTTATACTTTATCGATTCGTCGCCTAAAAATATTTTGTCAAACCTCATACCGTATTTAACTCTAAGTTGTATTGCTAGTTCAGAAATTGTGCTCTACCCTAGTATCATCATTTAGATCTAATTTAGCTTAAATTCAATATCTAAATTTGATTCTTTACAGATATGCTCAATATTCTCACTTCAAGATCTATTCGGAAGCAGAGTATTACAAACTCGAAATTGATGGATACGAGGGCAACGCTGGTGATTCATTAAATGACCCCTGGTATGGATCCAATAATTCACCATTCTCCACCTACAACAGGGATAATGATAGGTCAAGTCTCAATTGTGCCAGTATGCTTAAAGGAGGTCAGTTGATATGAATTATGAAAAATATAAAATTATTGTGATTGCGCCTGTCACAATGTCACGATTTTTGGACCAAGTAATAATGTGATGATCAACATGACCAGAAATTACACACTGTAATTTAGTTTTACTTTTGTCGTTTAAAATATGGCATTTCAAGGAATGTCATAGTCAATTTTTGTTTTTAATCATTTTATAGCCATGGCAACCTCACCCATAAGATAAATACTCCATTTTACTCAAGCTATCGGTAACATTGATCCATTTATCTTATTTCCAGGTTGGTGGTGGAAAAGTTGTGGCCGCGGATTGAATGGTTTATATCTTCACGATCCTCAAGATTTAACAGCAAGACAAGGTAGATAACAATAAAAATTAGTTTGTGTACATGCGATGTGAAAGACATCATCTTAAAAGAAATAAACAATTTAAAATTTTAATTTTGGCTTCGATTAGAGATGCTAATTCGATTACCAAATTCTAAAGTTAATGCTAGAAACTCTTACTGAGAAGAGTACGATAGATGATATATACAGGGTGGCTGATATGTATTGCAACCAATTTCAGACCGCTATTATTTCTAAACCGCAGATTTATTTCAGTGATTGTTCATTTAATTGTTTACAAGCGTACAAAAGCATTTTGATCTATTGCATTCAGAAAAAAAGTTATTCGTGATGGAAGTCAAGCGTAATAGTGCGATTGCTTTGTACTTGGCTGGAAAACCATAAGTGGCTATATTTAGAGCCCTGCAGTATTTAAATGCAAACAAATATTTTGTTTCTCGTACCATCTCTCGTAGCCGTGATACACTCAGTGTTGCACCGCGTCCAAAAAGTGGACAAAAAAAACACTAACAACCCCAGAAATGATCCAAAAAGTATAGGCAAAAATCGATCGAAATTAGTGTCGCAGTGGTAAAAAAAATGGCCCGTGAGCTGAACATATCGCAAAAACGGATGCAACACATATTGAAAAATGAGCTTGGACTAAAGCCATTGAAGTTCCAAAAAGTGCAAGAGCTCATCGATGCACAAAAAAAAGTTAGACGGGAAGGAGCCAAGGGTTGCTTCGCTTGCACGAAAGTGGTTTGTTACCGAATTTGGTTTTCTCAGATGGGAAGTCCAAAGCTTCCAAATCGAGCAGTTTGTAAACAAACAAAATGACAGGGTTTACTTGCCAAAAAGGTCAGCTAAAAATTTACACCTTCTATTGGCCACCAGAACTCAAGCGCCGCCGACGGTAATGGTGTGAACCATCATAACGGCCGGTGGTGACATTCCGCTCTTATTCATCGACCGTGGGATCAAAATAATTGCCGAAATTATCGGGAAAATGTCTTAAAGGCAGTATTGAAGTCCTGGATAGACAAAAATTTCGATCGCAGACCATGGACATTCCAACAGGACTCAGCACCATCAACCTCAGCACGCGTCTACCAAAAATGGCTTATAAAAGAAGTTTTTCGCTTCATTTCCATCGCACAATAGCCACCAAAATCTCTGGATCTAAATTCGCTGGATTTTTGTGTCTTGGACATTTTGAAGAGTAAGGTTCGCACTAAAAAATACCAAAGTGTCGATCATCCCAAGAAGGCGCCTCGCCGGGAATGGGCCAAAATACCCCAGAGCCACTTTCGTGCAGCGTGTTATGGTTTTTCTGCCGTTTGAAGGCCATAATTCGTGCCAAAGGTGGCCAATTAGAACAAATATAAACTGATTCTAAAATTTGATGTTATTTCTGACATTTTTGCTTTTGAACAATGAAATTTAAAATGAAAATGACAAAATTATAGAGCTTTACTTTGTTGCAATACCACCCTGTTACTTAACTATTAGCCACCCTGTATCTTAACTATAAGCTTAAAATTATCGTTAGTAATAAAATTTTAATAAAACGCTTAAACTTACATTATAATTCTCCATTTAAATAGTACGAGTGACATCTCAGCTGTTCTTGTACATATAAATAACTCAATCGGTCTGCAATCTCTCATTTTTTCACTACATCAGATTTGTCTTCTTCTTATATAAACAATTTAAGAATGACTTCTCCTCATAATTTCAGTAAAAATTTTATCAATCTATAAAATAATTATTCTCAGTCACTGATAGCCGTTTCTGCGCTTTTTCTTTATATGTTTAATGTTGAACCTGCCATTACCGCATCCAGTAAAACCTTCATCGTCAATGCGAATATAAATGCTTTTTGAATCATTCAAATTGATTCAGCCGTAGTTTTATAAGTACGGTTTAAAAATTGTATTCAGGAATTCATTCTATACAAACACATGCACACACAATTATCCGAATAAATAGATACTTATAGAACTCAAAAAAACATAGGCAGTACGACAAATCGGGATATCTGGACACGTAATAAGGTACACTTACCCCTATATACCAAGTACTGTAAAATGATCAGGAAATCTGGGCACGTAAAGTGTTCAAAATAGACAACATATATATTAAAAACATACAAAAATTAAATATAGTAAAAACGACAAAATAATCAGAAGAACTATACACATGAGAAGAACCAAATAGGTCACATACATATGACACACGTACACTGATTAAACAAAATGATCAAGAGATCTAAACATGTAAATTATTCAAAAGGAAAACATACATATTACACATCAAAGAATGTACTCTTTGTACAAAATAATGGTAAGATCTGGTCACGTAAGGAGGTTAAAACAGAAAACATACATACAACACATACAGTACGACAAAAATATAAGGAGATCTGGACACATGTTTCCAAAAATTCTAATAAACTAATTATGCAATTGACAAGTGGAATGCATATTTGTTAAATAAAAATTAAACTAGTGGGGCGCATGGCATCGCGCCTTAAGGCAAATTGTTGTTACTTCCCGTACCAAATTTTTTTTTTTTTTAAAGATTAACTTTTTGAAAGAAAAACAACTCTGAAAAAATTAGATTTTTGAGAAACTATAAATTATTGACAAAAATTTACTATTTTTGAAAAAAAAAGACGTTAATTCTGAACTTTTTTTAAAGTAATCGTACTGCTTTAACTGCATAGAGGATAAACATTGGTACGGAACCCATAGAAATGCAAACAAAATTTATACTTATTATTAAAATCTCTATAAAATATCTGATAATTTGATGTGCATATTTGATGTCTAATGATCATTTTTGACCGCAAAATGGCATCTTTTTTTATTTTTTACTAGATCTCCGAAACCGCTAGACCGGCCTATGAAAATTTGATCAAAACTTCATCTTGTTAATACAAGTAAAATGTTTTTTGAATTATTCAAATCGGATGCTCCGTTCCCTTAAAAACTGAGTTACCGTTTTGGCACTTTTTGCCCCATATCTTCGGAACGGCTAGACCTGTCTTAGCCAAAAACTAATCAGCAAGTCTCCTTATCAATATGAATCGAATGTTTTTTGAATTATTCAAATCGCTTCATCCCTGTTCCCGAAATCGTCGACGAAAATTTGTATCCGCACACACATACACGCAAATTTGTAGAAATATTGGTCGAAAATTATAGGAAAAATATAAAAGAACTATATTTTATTAGAATAATGCAAATATTTTTCATTTAGGTATCGTGTGGTTCAGATGGCGTGGTTGGGACTATACCTTGAAAAGGGCAACGATGATGATTCGACCTCGTGGTGCATCTTCTGCATCCTTTGCATCAGCGTCATCTACGTCATCAACGAGCAACGCGACCGTCAACACCGGCAGTGCTGCCAACCAATTAGGATCGCGGTGAACGATTCGATAAAGATATTTATTCTTTATTTCTTTTCTTATTACTTCTTTTTTCTAAAAATATTTGAACCAAACTTAAGCCAAACGTATATGATTCGCGAAAAGATGTGAAAGGAACCAAAAAGTACAAATAAGCGGAGTTGTGATTAGTAGAAAATGACACTGGAATTTTAGACGTTAGATAAAGTTTTTAATATCTAGCATTTATTGGGAACCTAAAATCCAGTTTCATATATTAGAACTAAATTCTTAAACCTTGTGAGGGCGCTGCGATAGATTAACTTAGAGGCAAACCTTAAAAATGTTATCCTATAACTACTTTCATTCCTATTCAATAAATCAGAATAACTAATAATCTACAAAAACACTTGTATATTGTATATTTATATTCGATTTTTATATTATTGAAAAAATCTTAAATTTGATTTTTAAATAAATCCAATCGAGAAAGTTAAATTGATTTTCGAACGCAACACAGATTAAAAAGTGAATTAAGTTTTTTTTTTAGAAAAGTTTGTAAAGATTGAATAAAAACTAAATTCTTTTGAAAAGTATATTGGAAAAAGTAAGTTTTTGAAAAACAATATGAAAAACTTCGAAGCCAAAACGACACAACTTCGAAAATACAACGGCGCACTGTTAAAACTAGTACCAACGGCAGAGAGCAGAATGAAAAAATACAAAACGAAACATGCTAAGAATTTGAGTTTCAGTGATATTTTACTAATCACAACCCGCACTATTTTTTTTAAAAAAATCAACATCAAGCAATTAGATAATATATTTAACACTAACAAATTCATCAAAAAAAGTACTGAAATCATTGAAACCGAAAAATATTTTATCGCTATCAATAAGACATGACAAATTTTTAATATTATATCATACTTCATTTAATCGTGTATATTTTGTATAGATTCTAAGTGTTTAGGAAAAATATATTATAAATTTAGTTAATTATAGTTTTAAATAATCATCAATTTTATTTGTAAGAAACACATTATCGCATCTGTAAAATAGATTCACTTCATCGAAAAGAAACTCCAAGAGGGAAAAAATACTCAAAGTTAAATGTAGAAAAATTTTGTAGATAAAAATAAAACAATATAGATATATTTTATGATTTTATTTTTCTAACTAATTGCTTTCTTTTTTTAAAAAAAATAAATATATATTTATTTCTACATTTCGGAGATATCAAATATTGTTTCCTTCTTCAGGAATGGTTAACAATTTTTTTATACAATTTACTTTTCTTCTTTGAAATATTAAAATTAAAATTAAAATGGTTTTAAACAAACGCTTACCAAAATAAAAGTAAATTATTAGATCCAAAACACACTTTTGATTTCCATTTACAATTTTATAGGTAGAGGTAATAACCCTGTTATGACATTGTTTGTTGAATCAATTTTCATAATGATTTGACAAAAACAATAAATTAATTAATTTACTCAAATATTATCTCTTATAGTTTTTAATGAATGTACAATTATATTTTTGGCGAATGTTTATTTTAAAGAATTTTTCCAGTACTTCAAAGATAATAAGTAAATTCATTCAAATTTCAAAAGTGAATACATAATAATGTATAAAAAATTATTGTTTGTTTACCAGCTCCTGGGTAAGGAGACATTACATATCCCAGAACCGTATCAATAATTTTAAATAATATGGGCTTTTGAAAAATAAAATCATATATTTATATACAATATAGAATAAAATTATTATTATGTATATATTTAACAATTACATATTTTTATATAGTAGGTAAGGTTTTGGAGCAGAATTATTTTATATTTTTAATTATTTAAATGAATTTTATTAGATGAAAGTTATGACTGATTGTGAGAAATCATAACTCTATATATTTTGTATATTTGTAAAAACATTTGTATAAAGAAACGTAAGACATGATGACGACAGAAAGACCAAATTAATTTTCGTCCAAAGAAAATCACAAAATAGGAGTTCTATATATTATTGAATGGTTTTTATTAATAATAATGTAAAGATTTTAATAAAGTTCATGTTTGTATAAATCTATTCAACTATTGTTTCATTTTTATTAAAATAAAAAAATCTAATTTGTATTGGACCAAAATTATTCAAATTATACTTCTAAGGCTAAGAATCAAGAAGGTTGCGCAATACTGTGCACAGCGAAGTCAACATATAAAAGTCATTATTTGAAATTGATGAGATCTAAGATGAAGATCGATGAGGATATAGTCTTTTGTTTTTCAGTGAAGTGTCATTAGAATTTTGTGAAATAAGTGTTAAGTCCGGATTCTAAATCTTGCCTTTTTAAAGGCACCGGGCTTAATACTTATATATATTATTATATCTGTCCAAATTTTAAAGGTGAACGTGCCTTATAGCCTACTTTTATTCCCAAATCTTGGATTGAGATTGGTAATGGGAAGGAGTAGGCACCCATTAGAGTGACTTTTTATTTTTCAAAATTGAAGTTTTTGTGTTTAACTAAATATTAAAATCAGTGTGGAAGAATCTGAAGAAAACAGAGGATTTAACAGGCGGGCGCCTGGGAAAAAATACAAGATGTCAAAAAATCACGAAATGGAAGTGCAGACAAGCGGCGCACTGGAAAATAAATATTATGCTTTATCGGATAGAACAGATATGGATTCCGATAGGAAAATTGATGATTTTAAGAAGGTGACACGCCGCAAGAGGGCAAAGAAGAACAAAGAGCCCGAAAAAGCATCTGTCGAACCGCAACAATCCACCTCAGGAATACAGGCAACACCACCTAAGAGAGCACCGCTAAAGAAAACCCAGTTGAGCGAGGAAAAAATACCTCCCATTATCATAATTAAAGGAATTAAAGACTATTCGCTACATACGAGAGACAACAAAAATAAATTTCCGATATCAGTTTCTAAAAACGAATTTGCATAAAATCTTCACAGATTCAATTTCAGACCATGAAGACATCAAAAACATTCTGCGCGAATGTCACTACCCTTTTTATACTTACTCAATGCAGCAAAACTTGTGTAAAAAAATCACAATAACTGGGCTCCATCCATCAACATCTGAGGCAGAGATCTGCGAAGACTTGCAGCTGAAAGGAGCCAAAATTAAACAGGTGATACAAATAAAAACGAAACTACCAGATGGTAGTCAACATAAGCTGCCCATATACATAGTGGTGGTGGATAAAAATCAGGACATGTCGGAGCTAAAACGCATCACGAATATTGGGGGACATATCTTCTCCTGGGAGGTATATAGGCCGCAGAATAGAGCGCTGCAATGCCACAAGTGTTTAAACTTCGGTCACACATCGTACACCTGTGACCTAAAGTACAGGTGTATAAAGTGCTTCAATGTGCACGCGCCAGGAGCGTGCCAGAAACTACCACATGAGGCACCCATGTGTGTCAATTGCAAGAGTGAACACCCGGCAAATTACTCCAAATGCAGCGCTCTTATAAACCACAACGAAAAGAAGGAAAGCGACGCTCTCAGGAGAAGACAAGCGTATAGGCCAGCACCAACACCAGTGCCACTGACGAGGAGCTTCTCGTCAACTATAAACCCTACCAACAATGGTCCCAACGTCAGAACCGAGTATCCTTAACTCCCTATCCCATCGTCACCATACAGATCGATGGTCCAGTCCTCACGAACAATGGTCCAGCCTGCACCACCATCATCACAGATCCGGCCTGCACTATCGCAATCACCAACCCGGCCTGCCTGCAGCCAGCCCGATCCAGATTTCAATACGCCAGAGGGACTTTTTGCTGCTATGGGCGAGATCAGGATGCTGTTTGCTGATCCCCAGGTAAAACAAATTTTCAGTGAGCTATATAAACTGACAAAATCACTAAACACCAACATGACATATAACAAAAAATACATAACAATACTTAACTTTTTAAAAGCATCTCCATAAACCAAACGCGCGACTTATACATAATGCACTTTAACTCTAACGGACATAAAAACAACGTGGACGAACTGAGACAGACGATAACAAAATACGATCTGGACCTAGTACTGATTAACGAGAAACACTTAAAACCTACGGACAGACTCTATATCAACAATTACAAAGTTTACAGAAACGACAGACAGACGGACGCACGCGGATGGGGCGGCACTGCGATTTTGATCAAGTCTAATATCAGACACGAGCAAGTGCCAAACCTGACAGCGGGCGGTTCTGAAATAACAGCTATCAATGTATACAAGAAAGGTTAAAAAGTAACCATAATATCGATTTACATCCCGGCAAGCGGACTAGAACATACGGACTTATAAAGACTACTGGACTCAAACAGATTTGTACTTATGGAGACATTAACGCACAACATACATCTTGGAACTGTAACTTTAACAATGCGAACGGAAACAGACTTTACGAATACCTGACCGAACACAACACCACAGACGCACAACTACACTATCCTGACACGCCGACCAGATACGCCATCGTACAGACACACCATCACAGTACGATCGATTTGGCATTGACAAAAAATCTACACGTAACATCCGAACCCATAACAAGAACACTTTTTAACTCCGACCATAATCCAGTTTTCATGACCATTTCAGACAGACTAGACGTCGACCAGACTCCCAAACGCAAATTTTTAGATTACTCCAGAGCCAACTGGCCATTTTTCAGAGACATCATCACAGACAACACACGACACACAATGCCAATCGATACCAACACTGACATTGAGGAGGCTGTAACACACCTTACACTGACAATCACAGACGCCGTACAACAGACTATACCGACACTAGACTCAAGAACAACACCAGCCAACGACTTGCCAGAACATATTTTATTGGAAATAAAACTTAAAAATCATACAAAAAAACTGTGGTAACGTAGCGGTGACAGACTACTCAAGGAACATATGAACAGACTGACAAAAATTATTTCCAATGAAATACGAGACCACCGAAACAACACTTGGACTCGAGAACATAAATACTGACCCACACAAAATTTGGCAAACAGCAAAAAGACTGACGCGGAAACCAGCATCCATACCTCCACTCAAATTAACTGACAACAATTACGCAACGACATCAGCAGACAATGCGGGAATATTGGCAAAAAACTTTGAGAACACACATAAACAAAATGCCAATATGTCAAACGCAGACCTGAAACAAGGCGTGCACGAGACAATTCAAAACTTCACTGACCTCCACAGATACAAAGACTTACGAAAGTTACGAATAGTTAGAAAATTACCGAAGAGGAAAGCACCAGGACCGGACGGACTACATAACATAATACTTAAACAACAGCCGACGAAGGCCTACATTTTACTTACCCGCATAATAAATAGACTAATGACAAAATGCTGCTTTCCCGCTTCTTGGAAAACCTCCACCATATTTCCAATAGTGAAGCCAAGGAAACAGCCAGACATACCACAGAACTACAGACCGATCAGCCTCCTCAACACAATGAGTAAGGTAGCCGAAAAGGTACTACTCAAAAGACTTAACAAACACATAAGACACAACAAAATTATACCTGACACACAATACGGATTCAAAGAACGACACTCCACACTACACCCACTGACAAAACTCATAGAAAATACAGTTTTCAATTTCAACAGACGAAACCATACCGGATTGGTGTTACTCGACTTTGAGAAGGCGTTTGACACCATCTGGATGGACGGACTTATACATAAACTTATCCAACTCAACTTTCCACCATACATTACAAGAACATTACACTCATACCTCTCAGACCGCAACTTTACCGTACAAGTAGACAACGAACTTTCGACGGTTAAACAAGTGACGGCGGGAGTACCGCAATGTTTAACATCTGCATTCACGACATACCCACTGACTCCGATACAACGTTACTGACGTTTGCTGACGACACTGCCATATACAAATCATCACGTTCGCCTACGCTACTGACTACAAAAATACAGACACTCATAGACAAGCTAACTGAATATACTGACAAATGGCAAATTAAAATCAATCCGAAAAAGATGGAGGCAATTCTGTTTACAAAAAGCCGAAATGCCACGACTAGACTGACTACCTTAGACAAAATTTAAGTATTGGACTGTGAAGTTGAGTGGTCCAAGGATGTCAAATATCTTGGTGTGACCCTGGACCATAGACTCAGCTTCACAAAACATATTAATACGAAAATTGGACAGGCTTACGGGATGTTAAATTTACTGAGACCTCTCTTGAACCACAACAGCCCGCTAAGTGTGAAGAACAAGCGGACACTTTACTTGACACTTATAAGACCGTTACTGAAATACGCCGCTCCGGACATTACAAAATAAGACACTAAGACTAGTACTTGACAAAATAAGGGACCCACTGACTAGACATTACTACTCTTTAAAATACATACACAAACAGACTGACGTACCGACAATACTCGACTATATAAAAAAGCTCACTGAAATTTTTTAGAAATGTGGGGATCATCCTAATACTAACATCGCGGGTCTCGGGCAGTTTACGAGGGACGTAATATGGTATGGCAATCACGCCATGCCAAACTATATACTGATCACCCCATAGCGGCTAAATAAGGAGCATATTATTTAAGTGGCTCCTCTCTCTTAAGGGGAGTTAACAAAACATATAATTATTAATATATAAAGAATCTGTATTTTTTTGGGAGAAAGTTTATTTTTCTCTTTTTTTTTAGAACACACATAAAATCATATTGTATACATATTGTAAACTATATTTATCATATACATTAAAAACGGGTAGAAAAAGTATGTACAAAAGGCAACACTGAAAAATGTACTTTAAATATTGAAATAAATACTTATGTCTGTCTGTCTGTCAATTATTTGAAATTAGTGATATGCCAATTCGAATCGAGTGATTCAAATCATTCTCTTCAAGCCCTTAACAACCTGATTCGGGTAGAATTTTACTTGATTCGAATCAGCTCGTATCAAGCCGAGAAATATTTACTGTGATGCAATATATGTATATTGTATAAAAATAAATTATAATAAATTATGATTTTTATTTTCATAAATATGAACAAAAACATGAGTTAAATCATGCGAGCCACACGAATTCAATTACCGCATTCGAGTAACTCATATGATCCAAATTAAATTGAATTCAATACGTCATTGTAGTCTTGCGTTTATTTATTAGACGGAAGGCCTAGAGCGAATTCGTTTATAAAATAAAATAAACACGATATCAATAGGGTCAATACTCCAAATATTGTTTTATATGCATTAGTGATTATATATTAATGCAAATTAATTTGAAAATATATTTCCAAGATGTTCGAAATTAAATCATTCTTAATAATTTTCAAAACCCATTAAAAGCATCCGCAAATATACGTATTCATCTGTCAAAAATCGAAGAATGGTTTTCACCATGGAGCTTTGAAGTCAACAAAACTAACGGAACGACTCTGCCGCACAACAGACAAATGTTATGGCAAGTCTATGTTATGAAGAACTTTCCATACAAATTCGTTCAAAATATTGACAAAAGCCATGCGGTTGCTGTGTAGTCGGGTATTTCTCAGGTTGTCGGATAGAAAACCTAACCTACAAACCGCATAAATGTCAGAAAACGATGTTAGATAAGAAGGTCTTTATGCAGTTCATGTGTAAAAACCTGAATGCACAGCAAATTCGTCATATTTTGACAGTATTCAGTATGATTCAGTACCATAATGTATGGAACTTGGAGCGTAACATGTCCTTGCCATAACATTTGTTTGTTGTGTGGCAGAAACGGCCCCTAAATTTATTCACACTACTTTTACTCTCAAGAAAAATATCTGTCCTCCAGTTAACCTGTTCAATACAACGTTGCGACAATCAAATGTCGCCAAATATTTGGGCTGCAATTAGACTCGAAACTCACCTGAAAATACCATAGCAAAGAAAAAGACAAAAACGTATAACAATTTTGTACAGAAGTTTATAACGATTTCCGCGTAAAATAGAATTTTGAAACTTTGACCTTGAATAAAAAAAATCGCAGATGTTGGATCGGTGGAGACTTTTGATATTCCATGTGTAATGACTTAATTAACATCCGTAGCAATTTTCAGCTCTATGCAAATTGTTCCGAAGTGAAATGTTTATTTTGACCGGGCTACGAAAGAAATTGTGTTCATATAACAAAATACTCACACATTGGCAGTTAAATACGGTTTCAAATTTCTGTCAAAGCCACCAAGTAATTTTTTTGCGTGAGACTTCACTTCTGTACTCTGAGACTTCATTTTCTGTATTGCAGTTTTGATTGACAAACATGAACTGTTATAAAAAGAATCTTGCACTCACTGTAGTGAATAAAACAAATAGTTCTATAAAATGACTGATCACGAATAATTTATATTGAATATAAATTACATTTGACTACATACAATGAAAACAGTATTCATCAAATAAAAAAATATCAATATAAAATCGATTATTATATAATATTCACTTACAATTTAAGTAACAGTTGAGAATTTTGCTAAAAAATAGTAATTAAAGCAAACATGCCGTACAGCAGGGCGCAGGGGTAAGCAACTAGAACACGCTGCTGAGTCATATCCAGGGCGGCTGCAAATAATTTTGCCGCTGAGAAACTGCACCATAGTATTGCTAAACCCGATAATGACATTCCTACTGCACCCCTAGTAATAAAACTCAGATTAAAAGTGGTGATATGTATAATTAACATAAATTTAATAATTTATGTTCCCGTAGGGTAGTTATAGTAATGGGCCGAAAATCGAAAATGAAAATTTTTGCATTTCTCGACGTTTTGAAGGTTTCTGAACATTTTGGCATACCTTAGAAAAAATGGATGTGTGTGTGGGTGTGTGCGGGGTGTGTGTGTGTGTTTTGTATGTCCGCATTTTTTCGTTCACGTTTTTCATTTTTCGGGCGCACGGATCAACCGATTTGAATGGTTTAAAAAAACATTAGATTCCTATTGATAGAGAGATGTGCTGATTAGTTTTTGGCAAAGGCAGGTCCAGCCGTTACGGAGATATGGAGCAAAGAGTACAGAAAATAGATATCGAATCATCCAATGTGTATGATTCAAAAAGACATTCAGTTCGTAATGACGGGGAAAAGTTTTTGCAGAGGTAGGCCCAGCAGTTTCGGAGATACGGAGCTAAATGTTAAAAAATGGCAGTTTTTGAGAGAACTAAGTGTCCGATTTAAATGATTCAAAGAACTTTCTGCTTGTTTCAACAAAATAATTGCTTTTGCAAAAAAAAATTTAGTTTCTAATTTTTTTTTCAAAAAATATTTTTGTAATTTTAGATAAAAAATTCAAAAAATTACCCAGGCTAAGCACAGTCTTAGCGCCACTCTGGTATAAATGTTTACCCAAGTGCGTTTAGACTGTTTTTGTACTGGAGAACTTTTCCAATTTTGTAAGAAATATTGAAAAATGTGAAAATGACGCCAAGCTAAGCACAGTATACGTGAAAATGTCGCACAGAATTATTTACAAATGCGGTTTAGACTGTGAATGTACAGGAGCAATTTTTCAATTTTGTGTAAATTAGAGGCAACTATTTTTTTTTAAATTGAATTCGAAATGTAATAACGATTGCTAATGTTCTGGAGATAAAATGATTTATGATTTACATTTGATTTGCTCAGATATAAAAAGATAGCAAAAATAATGAAAGTTACAGTATTTGTAATAATATATTTGAAAACGTTTAAAATTTCTTGAATATTTCATTACGGTACGGGAAGTTCCAGCAATTTGCCTTAAGACACAATGCCATGCGCCCCACTAGTTTAGATTTCGTATTGTGCTATATATACAGGGTGTCCCAGACTTCGACGTCATGCCGAATCGGGGTTATAGTATTGATCTCAACTGTCTTGAAAAGAATTAGAAAATGAATTTATCTCACGTTGTTTGGAAATTATGAGCTTTTAAGTGCAACCTACAGCTTTGGTAAAATTGTGACCATTTTTCGGTTATTGTGGTTAATTTTTACCAATTTTGTTCATTCACGATTACGTTGGAACCGTAACCGTGAATGTCATTTCTAGAACCACAATCAGAAACAAGTGCCCCGAGTATTCAAGAATTAAGACGCAAGTTTCATCGAAAGGTAAAATACTTGATAATTTTATTATTGAAAATTTTCGAGTAAAAAAATAAAAACCTCTAAAATTTTACTCACAATTAGTTCAAATGCGTGTATGCGCAACGTTTGACGTTTGAATCGAAACCCACTCGCGTGGATATATATTCGGACGCGATTAGGGCACTCTCAATGGGTCAAAATGGAATTTTTCAAATTTTAAGTTCTATTTTTGGGTCAATTCACGGGAGATAAGAACTCACTTTAGAGTTTTTTCAGAAAACTATCTTATTCTATAATATATAGCTAAGCGACTTTTTTTCCTATATAAATCGGTTCGTATATATATATATATTAGTGATGTAACGAATGTTCGCATTCGCATTCGCATTCGCGAATATTCGCATATTTTTCGATATTCGCATTCGCATTCGCATTCCTATTCGCAAAAAACGATGCGAATATTTAGCGAATGTATTTAACAAACAAAAAGGAAATTATTATATAGTTGCATATGAAATGATAACACAACTGATAAGATTTATATATTTTTATTTAATCATACTTATTTATTTTGCCATTCCACTATATATTTTCTAAGAATTAAAAATGATGAAATATAAACTTAAAAAACCAAATAATGAATACTTGACTATTTGTAAATAAGCTTTTTACAAAAAAAATATTTATTTCTATTTAAAACAAAAGTAAAGTTCTAATATTCATAATGTTAATATTTGGTTTCAATTGTACATTTTTTCACTAATTTTCTTTTTGTATGAATTAAAAATAATGAAATATAAACTACACAATTATAGTTTTGCTAATAACAAGTTGACACAGTTGACTTTTAAAATAATTAAACTCGCTGTAACTTTAAATTCGAAGTAATTAAATTGAAGTAAAGGAATGTTAAATTTTAAAAATAAAAGTTTTGAAGCTCTTTCTCCGTGCAGCCTGTTTCGGTGAGGTGTGTAAAGAAGTCCAGCTCCACTGAAAACTCTTTCACTGGGGACACTTGTGGGTGGAGTTACCAAATATTCTCTGGCTACAGGAGAAAAAAGCATAAGTCCTCATTTCCAATTAAATCCAAAATATTTTTCACGAGCTGATATTTGGTTGAAGGATTTTTGAAAAATTTCGATTTGACCCGTGTTTCTTGTAGATTAGCAAGTTCACCTTGAGCTACATTAGAGTGGTAAAAATGTGTTGCTATCTTTTTACATTTGAAATGTCAAACATTTTGCGCGCGCTTTATTTGAAATTTAACATTCGCATTCGCATTCGCATTCGCGAATATTAAAGATGAATATTCGCATTCGCATTCGCATTCGCGAATGTGAAAAATCCAACATTCGTTACATCACTAATATATATATATATATATATATATATATATATATATGTGTGTGTGTGTATATAACAATTAGATTTTTTTGTTCGACGTTGTTACATATCTTAAAATAAAAAAAAACAAATAAATACAAATATTTATTTATAATATACATTCAGCAATTCTTTGTTAACAGTATATAAAAAATATGTGCAAAGTTTAAAGAAATATAAATGTAATTTTATTATATAAATATATAGAAAAAGTGACTTCTTCTAAAAAAACTGTTTTTAAATGAAGATTTTCTCTTAGTTTTTACTTTTGACAACACTTTAAACTCACTTTTCACTCCCTTAAAGTCTAAAACTCCAGTTGAGCATGTTACTGATGTTGTTTACAAAGTGGATTGCAATGATTGTAATTGTCGTAATATTGGTGAAAGCTCGCAATATATTTACCAACACATTTGCAATTCAAAAAATAAAAATCAGTTTTCGGAGCATGTGACTAGTTTAAACCATACTTTTAATACCAAAAATCCTATTAATTTATATAAGGAAAAGAATGTTGAACTCAGAAAATTTTCTGAATCTGTATTTATCTTTTTAAACCCCCTTTGCGTTAATAGACGAAATTCTGCTCTTCTAGTACATAACTCTTGTAATAATATTATGAATTTTTTATAATTTTCCAAATCTTTGACTATTGTATTTCATGTTCTATTTGATATGTTTTATTTTTCAAATTTGTGTCCCCACTGTTTAACTATCCCTGAAAACCTTCTCCTAACACTCCTTGTATGTCACGTGACTTTTCGCTGCGTTCTATTTGCTCAGAACTACATTACTACATTAATTTCGTGCCTTAAGGCAAATTGCTGAAACTTCCCGTACCGTAACGAAATGATCGAGTAATATTAAATAGATTTTCGAATAGATTATTATAAATACTGTAACATTGTCTAATATTTATTAGAATTATATAAACTTAATTGCAAAGTTGAAAATATTGGTTTAAAGTATATTAGAACTCAAGTCAGAATTACAATTAAAATCTGAATTATTCTCGATATACAAAAAAAAATTTTTTTTTTTGAAAAAAAAATTTTGAAAAAAAAATTGTAACATTTTTTTCCAAAAGCAATTATTTTGTTATAACAAGCAGAAAGTTCTTTCAATCATTCAAATCGGAACTTAGTTCACTCAAAAACTGCCATTTTTGCACATTCAGCTCTGTATCTCCTAAACTGCTGGACCTCCTTTTGCCAAAAACTGATCACCACTTTTCCCCGTCATTACGAATTGAATGTTTTTTAGATCATTCAAATCGGATGTTCCGTCTCTCAAAAACTCGATTTCAATTTTAGATACTAATCAGCCCATCTCCCTATCAATAGGTATCGAATGTTTTTTTATCCAATCAAATCGGTTGATCCGTGCGTGGACAAAAAATTGTATCCATACATACATACACGCACACATCCATTTTTCTGAGGTATGCCAAAATGTCCTGAAACCTCCAAAACGTGGAGAAATGTAAAAATTTTCAATTTCGATTTTAGGACGATTACAATAACTTACCCTACGGTAAGTTAAAAACAAAACATGTTCAGTTTATTAAACTTTGTAATAATTTTTTAGATACTGTTAACAAAGAATTGCTGAATGATGACACACAATCCGTGTCGAAACGTATATTATAAATAAATATATGTATTTATTTCTTTTTTTTTATTTCGACGATTGGCAAATCGTTATTTCAAGATATATATATATATATATATATATATATATATATATATATCATATATAAAATTCTTCTGTAACTATGTATGAATGATTAATCCTCCTAAACTATAATTCGGATTTTCATGAATCTTCCTGAAGTTTGTTCGGGAATTTTTCTGGAATTTTTATATTCATAGAAATATAGCTAGATTGTAGAAATAAATGGAAAAAGATACAAAATCGCTTATCATTGTTTGCCCTTGAAAATATTTAAGGCATTGCCAAACATTTCCATTCACTTAGGCTAAGACAATATTGAAATATAATATATTTATGATTATGAATAAGAAAAATGTAATGACTACATTATTATTGCCGAAAAGCAGCTGAGATGTGCCAAAAATTAATATAATATAAGATTTACAGTCAACATCTGACAGGTGATACAGTCTGCGCATGCGTTTGTCAGTGATCGCACATCAAACTTAGCCTATAATTCACTTTGACTGATTATTACTTTTTAACTTTTAAATGCAGTCGTGTTTTGCCTTACTTTACTAAATCACGATACAAAAATAATTTACTTATTCAAACAATTATTTAGAAGTTTCATTGTGTCAAAAATTCATATGTTTGGCATTGGATACGAAATATTTACTCAAGACAATGGAGCATTTTGGGTCTGAATATTTTTAATATGCTTCAATTTGCATGAAATTTTGGAATTAGGTTCATCTTACTCTCAAGTTTAGAAATAAAAATAATTTAGAATCATTTACATCCCGGGGGATGACATCCCTTTTCAGTGGTGCAATTGTATCTCTTTCAAACTAACGTCGGATATCGATAAAAGAACTAATTAGAAGAGAAAAATGTTTAATAATGTTTTTCAAAGAAGAAATTACTTTTCAAGTTACTGGCTACTAAAAATTTGTTGTTTTTTGCGATTTTATCGTTTTTTGCAAATATTTCATTTGCAAACATATACATTTAAACGAAAATCATGTAATGAACAAAATTATATCAATTAAAATCCTAATAAATCGCTGTTCTAAAAATTGTTCTAGTAACAATATTAGGCTAGATATGAAAACGGAGTTTTTATAGTACTCAAATTAAGCTTTAGAATGAGTACTTCTGCGTGTAAAATGAGTGAGCTATCATGCAGATAAAAGACGCATACAATATTTTTTTCATTTAAAGTTGAAAATAATTGTATTGCCTCTATAATCAACTTGGTTTAAGAGATTGGCGGATTCTATTTCCAAAAATCTCATGATTTCACAAAAAAAAATCTATTTAAAAAAATAAAAGATACGTATAAAGATATATAAGTGAAAATTCAAGGTCTTTTACTGACGAATTATTGCTTTTTATTATTTTCCTGTTACACAAATATTGATAGTGTCCAATCAGAGTGTCTTTCGAGTCCTTCAATCCTTTACCATTTCAAAATAAGAGAAGTTACGGTAAAATTTATGATAGAGAAAGTTGTAACTCATTTAATTATAAATAATAGTGTATTGCAAGTACTGATAAAATCAGAATAAAAAGAGTTCAAATTCAAATAATCCGGTGGGTGGTGTTCAGAAGTTCAAATTGTTTTCACTTCTGAACTTAAGATAAAGATTAGCCTATTTCCGATACACGCTTTTTTCCTCTCTATTTACTGCAATAATTTTGTTGATCGTAGGTTGAATAGAGCACATGTGAACAGGATTTGATAAATTAATTCACTTCAACTATAAACTTAAGTAATAATGTATATTGAATTATTAGTGAAAAAAAATTAATTTAGATCGTAAATTACTAAAAGCCAGTTAAAATATGGTACGTAATTATAAAAATTATAGGCAACATTATTGAAGCATTTATTTTGGGTAGAAAAATCTAAGGTGATATTGTACCTATACCGCGAATGCTATATATTATTTTTTTCTGAATTTGTTATACCTTTTAAAAGACTTCAATTTTCAACACGTGTCTTATGCTATGACCATAAATCACAAAGGCAGACGATGATTTTCTGTGTGAAAAATTTGGAATATCAATGTTTTAGTCGTGAATAAACAAAAAATCATTTATTTATACATCCACATCTACAGGTATGACTGAAAAATTGTATAACCCTTGGCATTGAAATAAATTGAGCTATTGGAAATAAATTTACAGTGTATAATTTTTAATATACAATTTTATTGAACATTTTTTAATATTTGTTAAATGGATAATTAAAGTGTTAACTGTGGGAATTGAGAATAATCATTTTATTTAAAACAGTTCTACATTCAACATCACTCATATATTGGTGTAAATATTAATTCGAAAAACAATAATGATTATTTTTAACTGAACGGTATAAATATTAGTATATGATATTAAAAAGACGTAGATGTGGGTACAGGACAACGTCTGTCGGGTCATCTAGTATATATATATATATAGTAACAAAGTCTAGTAATCGGGCTTAACATCAATAAAAAAACATGAATTTTTTTCAAAAATTTATTTTAAATCCATACATTTCGGCTATAATCCTAGCCTGCATTCAGTGGAAACTAAAAATAAAATTAAAAACTAAAACATTGAATCAGATTGAAAAGAAAAATAAAAAGAGTAAATGGTACTTACAATTAGTTAAACTTAGTGTTAAATTGGAAGATTTTAATAATCCATGGTATCAATATATGTATGGTGAATGAAGGCTAGGATTATAGCCGAAACATATGGATTTGAATGAAATTCATGTTTTTTATTGATGTTATGCCCGATTACTAGACCTTGTTATATGTCAACATAAAATTCAGAATCATACAATATATATATATATATATATATATATATATATATATATATATATATATGTATATATACATATATATTATATAAATATATATTTATATAATATATAATATTTTTTCAAACTTTGATCATTTTTTAAATTAAACTACTTGTCGTAGAGCCTCATTCCGAACTACTATCTTTCGAACAGTTTTTGATTTTTTAAATTCGATTCAGATCATTCTAAAACATGGACGAAAAAGCTTTACAATTTGCAAATTACAAAGAAACGGCTCGGCCGATCGTCGCGCAAAACTGACAAACGATAGTCCTCATCGAGGTACATCGAATTGCTGTTAAATTTTTGAAATCGGTCCAGCCGTTTTTGAGAAAACGTCGATTTAAGATAAACTAATATTATAATATTGTTGACAAAAAAAGAATGTATGGTGCGCTATATAGTTATATACAATCTAATAAAATAGAATTGTAAAGTTGCTTGATAGAATGTATATGACTAATGTGCTTTTATACATAGTCAAAAAATAAACAATATAAAAAAGGGAGAAAATCTGTTCCACACACGTCCTTTTTACAAATTTGATCTCATTTGATTCAGAATAGCCTAAATCGTCGAGAAAACATAAAATTAGCGAATCGGATTTTTTGATGAAAACTATTTCTCCTTCGGGAAGTTAATAATACTTACTGAAGACTAGCAATGACATTAACTCCTGACAGAAGTACCATTGGCAAAAGGCAATATCCCAAAACTGATGCCACACCCATCAGAGTTGCTCCACGTTGAGACATTAGATTAAGAAGGCTGTACATGCCCAAACAACCAATTCCACCGATACCATAAATGTAGGAAAAATGCACTTTGCCAGACTAAAAAAATATAAAATCAGTTTTATTTATTAACTTTAAAATCGGGAAAAAGAAATTCATTCTATATTAATCTCTGTCAATATCAAAATCACTGTCAATGCCCAAATCAAATTGTATTTTTAATGTCTAGTTTTGCTTACTGTAAAATTTACTGTATAATAAAAATAAATTGAGATCAACTAATACTTTTAAAGTTTAGGCTAGCTTTATTAATTTATTAATTATATAGATATTTGTATTAAATGGTTATCATTAAAAAAAATATAAGTTTCATTCATTAATCATAATATAGCATTATTATTGTGCCTAATAAATATGTTTTAAATAAATTGATAAATAGATTAATTAATTATAATGTATTAATTATTATATATTGATTTTATTATGAATCTGATATTTGATATTATTATGAATATGATATTTAGATCAAGTACGTGAAGTTAAGAGTAATATTCTCTTATGTTAGTTTTATTAATCAAAATTAGTTTAGATTTGTTAATATATTAAATATAGTTATTTGAATTAAATTATTAATATTAAAAAATATCATATTACTCTCAACCAATTTTAATATAGATTTATTAATGTGTTTAATAATTATGTTTAAAATAAACTGAAAAACAGTTATTTTATTACAGATGTTAGATGCAGATTCATTAATAAATTGTGTAACTTTATTAATATATTTAGAATTTTGGTTTCAATGAATCAATATACATACTTAAACTTAAATTAATTTGAAATATATGAAAAGATCTACACTATTTTTTCAAAAATATTATTTACCAGTAAAAGAAAAGCTCCAAATGCTAAACAAAAAACAAGTGGCCCGGCCATATCAGTATCGTTGAACAAATTCGGATCGGGATCTTCTTTGGGATTTAATACTGATAATGTCTAAAATAGCAATTTATATTATTATTAGACCACATATCAAAAATCAGCTGTAAAAATTTAATTACATTACTATTACATAAAAAATTTAATTCAATAACTAATTCCACTCATTTCGTTATGAATATATATTTAAATGTTCAAAACTTATATAAATTAAATATATACAAATAAAACTTATATAAATTTAAAAAAAAGTAGCTAAAATTGAAATAAATTAGCAGAAGTTGAAAGTTGACCTTACCTTTTTGAGAATATGATCTGGATTTATACCCAATTCTAAAATAAAATATTTCTTATTAAATTTCAAATACAAAATATAATGATATATAAAAATGTTCAAAAACATTTTTAGAATCGTGAAATTTATCATTTATCAAGTTCATTTACCTTCCAGTAGTGGTGGTTCATCATCAAATTCTCCTCCGCCTCCTCCATGAGAATATTGGTCAGTTTTTGGCATTAAATTTGGATCATAAACTTGACCGGTGTAAACATTTTCAGTTGGGGTAAATGGAACATTTGGATACATTTGATTTTGATTGGACAATGGTTGTTGATTTGGATCATTGTCGAATGATTGAAAACCGCTGAAAGCAAAATCAAGTTTTGGTTAAGAATAAATATTTAAAAATAAGTTGTCAATAAACAAAAATTCAGAAAACTAGTTGTAAATAGCATTTTGCCTTAAGGCATTTACTTTTTGATACAAATATATAAAGGTGAGTCCACACCTAACGAACGAACACGAACAAACATAAATGAATGTACCAGAACGAACGGCAACAGCATAGTGTGGACGCCACAACGATCACGAACGAACACAAACAAACATGGCGAGCAATGTTCCGCAACTTGTCGGTACATCAAAGAGAATTGTTCGTTCATGTTTGAACTCGTATGTGCAGTGTAGACGCTACCACGAATGTAGACAAACATTTTTCTTTTTTGATGTTAAAATGTGCAGTCCTGCATTAGTTTATGTTGTGTTTATTATAAGATATTGCTGTTATTGATAAATTTTGTAAATTTGATGACTTTAAATAATTTTTCTCTTTCCGACACTTTAAATAATAAATCTGACGTTTCACGGTACATCCTCAAACAAAAAGATTCAAACCCTCACTGCTTTGAGGCGTTTGTTTGGAATTATTCGCGTTCGTTCGTGTTCCTGTTCTTTCTTCTTTGTATTTTCTTGTTCGACATGTTCGTTCGTTGGGTGTGGACGCATCTTAATAAACTTAATAGATTAGAATTGAGATTCAGCAATGTATGTACATGTTTATTTGGAAAATAAATTGTCGCATTTACTAAAAGTTAATCAATGCGATTTCCAAATGAAATCTTTCAAACATATTTATAATTTCTAAAATTGTATCGATTAAATTAATTTATTTAACACATTTCATTTTATCAATTTCAAGATCTAAAAATGTATTTTATTTAATTGAGGACGTCAACTATAATCAGTAGTTACCTACGAAACACGGAACCCCGGAAGGCTCAGATTTTGATAAAAAACTAATCAATACGATTCAAAACCAATAACAGTTTTTAATTTTTTTTAAATTGGCTCAAATTATGGGCTAAATCGTGGACGAAAAATTTTACACCTTTCTGCGAATTACAAAGAAATTGTCTTAACCGATCGTCTTGTAAAATTGAAAATCGAGTTACATCGAAAGACTTTCAAATTTTTCAAATCAGTTTAACTGTTTTTGAGAAAACTTATATCGACCAGAAGTCAAATATCGGCTCACACACAATACTTTTTTCAAATTTGGTCTCAATTTGATTTCAAAAATTAGCAAATCGGATTTTTTCGTTAAAGCAAACTTATCCTTCGATAAGTTAAAAATTATATTGCTGCGTCATAATTACACAACACTGTTTGTAATCAACACTAATCGTACCGCCGCTTTTCATATACAAACCTATTCCCACCATAGCGTATATATCATATACCTACCCGCAACATAGCAGGTCAAATGACCCAACTTGCATGATAGTATGATATATGGAAATTATTATGATATATGGTTATTATGTTGTTCGAAAATTAACATCGTTTTTTTATAGACATTTTGGCACGTAATTTAATAGTAAAACTAGTGGGGCACATGGCATCGTGCCTTAAGGCAAATTGCTGAAACTTCCCGTACCAAAAATTATTTTTTAACAAATATTAATATTTTTGAAAAAAAATTTACTCTAAAAAAATTAGATTTTTGAGAAACTATAAATTTTTGACAAAAATTTATTTTTTTTGAAAAAAAAAGAATTTTTGAAGAAAAATTTATTTTGAAATATTTTGGAAATTCAGAACATTTTTTCAAAGCAATCGTACTGCTTTAACTGCATAAAGCTGAAATATCGAAGCGCGTAAGCGCCGCGTCGCCGTCTAACGGATAAACATTGGTACGGAACCCATAGGAATGAATGATATAAACAAAATTTGTACTTATTGTTAAAATCCCTATAAAATATCTGATATTTTGATGTGCATATGTCTAATGATCATTTTTGACCCCCAAATGGCATTTTTTTTACTTTTATTACTAGATCTCCGAAACCACTAGACCTGCCTTCATAAAAATTTGATCAGTTCTTCATCTTGTTAATACAAGTAAAATGTTTTTTGAATTATTCAAATCGGACGCTCGGTTATTTTAAAAACTGAGTTACCGTTTTTGTAACTTTTTGCCCCATATCTTCGGAACGGCTAGACCTGCCTTCGCCTAATCAGCACGTCTCCTTATCAATACGAATCGAATGTTTTTTGAATTATTCAAATCGCTTCATCCGTGTTCCCGAAATCGTCGACGAAAATTTGTATCCGAACACACCCACATACACGCACACACACATACATCCATTTTTTCTAAGGTATGCCAAAATGTTCAGAAGGTGTTAAAACGTAAATATATATAAAAATTTTCATTTTCGTTTTTTTGCGAGTACTATAACTTACCCTACGGGAAGTTAATAACCAAATACTTATATTATTATACATATAATTATATATTGGCTATTTTGATCGATCATCTTTTGTCATATTTCTGGTATTGATTTGATACTCAATCACCTCACATATGTCTGGTGATTGATTTCTCATTTGAGGTAAAAATTTTACCGCCTAAAATTTTTTTTAGTGACCGGAACAAATAATGGTCGGATGGTGACAGGTCTGGAGAATGTGACGAATGTGGCCCAAATCAAGCAGTAACAGTTTTTGGCGATGTACCAAACATATGTGAGGTCATGACGACCATGATGCAATACTATACCTTGCTTGTGGGTTAATTATGACCTTTTCTATTGAAGTACATAATTTAGTTTATGCAACTGATGACATAAGGCATCCATATTAACCGTTATGTTATTTTAAAAAAGCTGAAAAACGAACAACTCCTTAAAAATCTCACCAAACATATTGCATCATCTTTTTTTGGCGAATTACAGATTTGCAACTGTTTTGAACAGGTTCTTCTTTTATATATCATCGGAGATTGCGTGTATTTTATTATTTACATCTAATTTGACATTTCTAGTGACAATTCGCTTCAAAACCTAAACACTGTTAGAACTTTTCAGAGGCAAATAGCGAAGGCTAGTGCGACGACACAGGTTTCTTTCTATGAAAACCATACATTGAGCTTCGAGGAAAATCCCAGACCTTTTAAGTGACCATGAACTGCTAAATTTGATAAATTTAAAATCAAAGGAATATCATGTATTGTTATTAGCCGGTTTGCATCAACTAATACCTTTCTCGACTTTCAAGCTTCAATCGTACTTCTTGGACGTGGTGCTCTTGGACATCAAAATACCAGGAATGAAATTTAGGGAACCAGTTTTGGCACCGTTGTATTATCAATACGTCATTTCCATATACAATCAATTTCACTTTGATTTAAGCAGTATTTTTACTTTTCCTATAGCGTAAGACTAAAATATGTCGAAAATGGTGCTTAATTCTTTTCGTATTCAAAGTAGCACCATCCATTTTTTACACACAAACCTTAAAATATAAGCTTTCAAATGATATAATTAGAGTGCTTAAGTGTGATTTTAGGTTCAAATAAAAAAAAATATAGTTAAATCCTAGGTGGTAAAAAGAACAAAGTGACTTTTCGAACAACCTTATAGAATGGAAACTATTGGTATTTTTGCATTTTCGTTAAGTGTAATTATCTTGAAAATATTCTCTAAAAATTTGAAGTTTATCTGATGATTACTTTTTGAGTTATTGAACTCTTACCAGTGCGCTAAAGCAAGTTGAGAGTTCGATACTTATACTCAAGATTTTTATCCCTTACCTTTCTGATGTTTTAAAAGCTATTAAACCAATTTACGACGATCTCAGCAATGATAATTTACTTTCAAGATGCCTAGTTCAAAATTGAATCCATAATCAGAAAAAAAATTGAGAGCTTCAACCAACTAGTATGAAAAATTTGCCCAAAAACCGTGAATACTAGTTCTAATATCGTACAAATTGCTGCATACATATACATAATCATTAATATTGATCATGGATACTCTAGAAACTAATTGTGGGTATAATTCCCATTATGCTGAAAAATTGTATGCTGCACGTGTGAAAGTGGCAGATCAGCGCGCCAACGAGAACATTCGGGAGGCCAGAATGCTTCGTAGGCAACAGCAAATAGAAATTTTGGAATATTCCACAATGACTGATGAACTATTATATGGCCCAGAAATAGATGACTCGGTTTAAGTAATTCAATAATTCGTATTTCTGTACGTAAATCCAATGTGAAACTTCAAACGCGTTTTTCTCAAAACTATGTTTTTTGAACTGGTGACAACTGTAACTCGATAGCCGCTTAAAAGATTTTAATGAAATTTATACAGCTTTTAGAATACATAATAAACTATACTGATCGAAGAATTTTTATTTAAAAAAAAAAAATTAAAACCAATTAACCATTGATTTTTTCCCAAAAATCTAGACTTTTTTTGATGCTGCCATTTTGTTAATTTTTGCAAAAAAAGAAAATCTTCGATCAGGCCCAGAATTATCTATTTATAAAGCTATTTTTTTATTCGATTGATTTTAGATGAATCCCTAAGGAGTTATGACTGTCACCGCCAGGAACGTTTTTTTAAACTGGGTCAACAAAAACTACTATAACTTTGGAAATAATATTTGGTTTCTGAAATTTTGTTACTTTAATTCAAAACATTGTATAATAATGCCGTATTACTATTTTTGTAAAAAAACATCATTTAATAACAAAAAAAATACTGAAAATTCTCATTTTTTTCTGTTACTTTCCGTACTAGAATTATATATTCGAGGGAAAAAAATCAGTCAAAAATGGATCAATGATTTAACATTTAAAATTGTAACAAAAAAATTTGTATTCATTTCGTACTCAGTAGTCTTCATATCAATAGGAATCGAATGTTTTTTGAACCATTCAAATCGGTTGTAATGTGCGCCCGAAATCGTGGACGAGAAATTGTATCCAAACATACAAACATACAACCCACATCCATTTTTTTCTGAGGTATGCCGAAATGTTCAGAAACCTTTGAAACATAAATATATGCAAAAATTTTCAATTTAGATTTTGTTGCAATTACTGTAACTTACCCTACGGGAACTTAAAAAACTTGGTACGAAACCCAACAAAATTTTAACAAAAAAATAGTATATACTGATTTTTAAAAATCTCATCTTTCATTTTTGACCACTATTTTTTTTTACTTTTTTTCTATCTCCGAAACCGCTAGATCTGCCTTACCAAAAATTTCATCAATTATTCATTTCGTCATTACAAATAAAATGTTTTTTGAATCATTCAAATCGAGTACTCCGTCCACTCAAAAACTAAATTACCGTTTTTGGCACTTTTTGCCCCACATCTCCAAAACGGTTAAACCTGTCTTCACCAAAAACTAACCTGCACACGTCTTCATATCAATAGAATTGTCATTAATATGAATATATCATATTCTAATATTGTCTAGAGGCAACACTTCCCAAATTTCAAAATTATAATCCTTCGGCATTTTCCTTATTTTATGAATTGATGACATTTAAATTTATTATTTTTAAGAGAGAAACTTATCACGATGGTAAAACAAGGGTCAGCGTCAAATGTGATGGGTCAGAAAGGTTGAGTTTTGTATGGTAGCAGGGAAGACTGAGCATGGTTGTGCCAGGGCACAGTAGTGACAGTTATCATAGCAGATTAATATATTTATACTAGTACTAACTGATAAATAAATAAATAAATAAATTCTCATTTTTTTAGGTTCCACAAGCAGAAAAGTAAAGTATGTTTGCTCGAGCAAGTTTTCATTAATACATTGAGGCAGCGCTCTACATCAATCAGATGCATTTTCTGGTTTCATGTAAAATATGCAGGTGATAATCACTATTATCACTAGATCTCAGTATATTGATACACAGTTATTGTAATATTTTGACAAATCAGTTAACTGATAATTATTTTTAACATTTTTGACTGATTTCAAATAAGCTATTTATAATAATACTAGTCCTCAGTGGCGTCGGAACCAAATTTTTGATGGATGGGCTCGTTTTTTTTTTTTTTTTTTGATAGGCAGCCAGTGGGCTCGTTTTTTTTTTTTTTAGAGATATTAGCCCCCCTATCAAAATTCATGGGTGGGCTCAAGCCCACACGGTTCCGACGCCACTGCTAGTCCTAATTGGTTACTTGTTAATTATAAGAATAAAATGATTGCATAGTTCAATTGTTAACATTATTTAACAAAATATGTTTTGTTAAATATTGTAATTATATTCATAAGTGTTATGGTTGTTTAAAACATCATGTTGTATTGTGTCACATAAAGGACGTTATAAACCATTTTGATGATTATATCTATTGTTTTTTAACCTATATCTATTCCTGTCACAACTGTACTGGGAGTGGGACCCAGCCACCAGCTAACTGATAAATTAACAAAATTATTGCTGGTCCAAAAATAGTGACAGCAAAATGTGATTTATACTGGAAACTTGATTATTATTGTAAATAACATAATTGCACATAATTTGCTTTCTCTGAAAGCTGAAATTGTTTTAAGAGTACTTTACTGTAAATAGGTGAAAGTCCCAATACTTACAAATCGTCTGGTACTTCAAAATTATAGCTGTGATCTGGTGGATTTTGTTGATTCCAATATTCATTCGGATTATATTGTGCCATCTAGATAAAAATATAAATTTAAAAATATTATACATACATACATATATATATATATATATATATATATATATATTTATTTATTTCGACAAATGGGCTGCTAGTTACTTTGAAATATGTTTCAACGTCGAAAAAACTATCAAGATATATATATATATATATATATATATATATATATCTTGAGGATTTTTTGTTCGATGTTGAAACATATTAAATTGAATTAAACAGCTAAAGTGTCGAATGTAGAAAGTTTATTTTAATTTTTTTATACGTTTCTCTAGTCTTAAATCTAGCCTCGAAACGTATAAAAAAAATTAAAATAAACTTTATACATTCGATGCATTGGCTGTTTTATTCAATTAATATATATATATATATATATATATATATATATATAATGGGTGTGCTACACTAGGGCAGGTTAGCTGAGTTAAAGTCCAACTCGATTCAGGAAATATTAGTGTGAGAGATTTCCCATTGCCATTTCACACCGCAGTGCCCGAGATGGGCTTATTTTCAATTGAAAACATATATAGATCAATATATATATATATATATATATATATATATATATATATATATATATATAAACAACTCATCAAAACATTTATACTTTTAATTATTTTGTACTAAAAGAATATATAAAAAACACAAGATCAAGAAATTATATCACTATTATACAAAATAAAAAGACAGATATACTAGACATTTGAAAGAAAAACATGAATGATATTAAATAAGTTAGTAAAACGGAGTTAATTTCAGATGAAAACACAAAAATTAACACAAACCACGGCACGACGTTGATAATGCAGAAAAATGAAACTATTTTAAATACAAATAATATAAAGTTTTTTTATAATTATTTTGGTGGTTATCAAAGATTTGTATTAATTGACAAATAAAAATATAACCTAAGAATTACGTAGGCATTTATATTAACTAGCATTGGTAGTATGTATGAATAATAGATATTTATATCTGAAATATGATTTACCTCACTATTAATGAAGCATATACACTACTTTAATGATATAACATCAATTAAATTAACAATATACTAATATTTAGTAAATATTGACAATCAAGGTTGACATTTAGTGCAATTTTGACATTTGACATTACTTGACTCGCCACGCGGTACATGTTGACATAGCGCAGTGTTGCCAAAGCTCTAATACCTTAATAAATAGCGAACGAGCGCGAACGAACACAGTGCGAAGGTGCATCCACACCTAATGAACGAACTCGAACGAACATGACGAACAAGAAAATACAAAAGGTGCGACCACACCTAACGAACAAACATGAAAATACAAAGAAAAACAAACACGAACACGAACAAAGGCAAATCATTCCAAACAAACGCCTCAAAGCAGTGAGGGCTTGAATCTTTTTGTTCGAAGATGTACCGTGAAACGTCAGATTCATTTATTATTTAAAGTGGCGAGAAAGAGAAAAATGCAAGACTGCACATTTTAACATCAAAACAGAAAAATGTTTGTCTACATTCGTGGTAGCGTCCGCACTGCACATACGAGTTCAAACATGAACAAACAATTATCTTTGATGCACCGACAAGTTGCGGAACATTGCTCGCCATGTTTGTTTGTGTTCGTTCGTATTCGTTGTGGCGTCCACACCATAGATAAACAAGTATAATAGATCGCTATGTCTGGCGATTTGACGTTACCTCGATTGAAATACAAATTTTTAAAAATAGATGGCAGCACATGTACAATATTTAAATTAACCCCTGATATCACTTCTAAATTTGTACGTATCGTATACAGCCCAAAAAACCTGAATAATTTTTAATATTGGAAATAAGAACAAATTATATGAAATACAAAATATATTTTCAAATATATTACATATGTTTAAAGAACAATTAAAATTATGTTTATATTAACAACTATAATTACAGTTAAGGAATGTTTACAAATATAATAATTATTATACATAATTATAAGTATTATAATTCCATAATTATGAATAAATTATATCTCAAAAAGTAAAGATCCAAGTGGAGAAAACCACAGAAGTATTTAACTAAACTAAGCAGGAATAACTGACTCATTAATTACTTAATGACTAATGTTAATATATTAAAAACTTAAAAACTAAGAAGAAACTAAAAGCACAAGAGCACACGATGAAATGACAAATTTAGAAAGAATGACAAATAATACAAAAATTCAAAATGTTAAAAAGAACAGATAATTTCTTAAAAAGTAAAAATACTTCACAAACAAAAAAGTCATAAAAACATAAAATATATATTGATATCAAAATTGAGAGAAATCCAAATTCCTAGGATTAAAACTCACTTACGAGACATTGTTCTTTATTAATTCTGCATTTAATAGTTATTTTGCTATTTAATCAATTAATAGAAAAGTTGCATTTAACGAAACCTTTGAATAGTTTCTGTATGAGTATTTTATAACATTACATTTAACCATGTTTCATCATGAAAACATTATCATTGAATTTGCCATCAAAGATCAACAAAGTGTTTACAATGAACAGAATAATGTTTTATGCACATACAATTGTTTATGAATTGAAAGATAAAAGCAATATTTTTGATTCCCAAGGTCGGTAACAGATATATCTTGAATTTAAATATTATATTAAGATGTTGCCCAAGATTTATTCGAAGAATATTATAATACTAATCTTCAATCAAAATACATTAAAATATTATGTATGGTATAGACTCGCTTTATAAGTGTTTACATTTACTAATGTAATAGATAATCTTAGTAAATATAACAATGAACTTACATTCATGAACATTTAAACCAATACTAAATAACTGTTTTGCAACATCAACAATATGAGATTCAATCCAATCATATAACAATTCTGAAGATGATGATATTTCATCAAACATCAAAACACCATAGTATCTGGTACTAATACTTTTTAAGAGAAATAGCTCAACCTAATGTTTTAAATAGACACTCATTACCACCGCTATACTATTGTATCTCTGAATGCAATGTTTGAGGACATGGCAAAATAAATATTTGTCACCAAAAATAGTAGACCTTTGGAGACTATTTGTACAGATTTAAAGCAAGAAATATGTCTTCGGCTGTGAATTTTCTTCCTTTTAAATTTGAACACTTCTTAGAACATTTAATACTCTGTTACAATTTGTTCCTTAAGTTATTGCATTGTTTATGAATTCTGCTTATCCTATCTCCTTGAATAAAGTTTTGAAAGCGTCATGCATTCCTTGGGTGTCAAAAGTACTCCTCCGCCTTGTTCGTGCATTTTGCAGCAATTTGCAGGTACCCCCAAGACACCTATTCAATATAATAACATGTTGAAATATCTTGATTATATATAATAATTGCTGCAATTATTATAAAAAAAATACCTTTGCGGGAACTGGTATTGGAAAAGCTGAATATTTGAACCCGCACTTGACATTTTTTTGGGTACAATAAAAACACTTTGTCATATTAAATTTCACTTAAAAGTTCACTTAAACACAATTAAATTATTAGAAACAATACGGGTTTACAAACTTAGGTTATGCTTAGCTTATTCGTACAGCGATCAAATACTTGACAGCTACTTGCATGAACCACGAATAATTTGTAGTTGAAATGAGTACACATAATCCATCTATTTTTAAAAATTGACACTACTCAAGACCAAAACAGTGCAACGCGCATTTGTTCGAAGATAACTCCCCATGGTCCACACTATGCTCGTTGCCGTTCGTTCTGGTACGCAAATCTTGCCTGTTCATGTTCGTTCGTTAGGTGTGGCGCACCTTGATTTGCGCGTGGTTTGCTTTTGTTTGAAATTTTTAATCTGGGTATATTATTCATCATGTTCATCATGCACCTTTATATGTAAGTATTTCTAACTTCCCTTAGTTATGGTGACTTAGTGACCATGGATAAAAAAAGGTATATGATAGTAAGTAGCTTATTATCTATGGTTAGTACTCGCAAAAAGTCCAAAAAGAAAATTTTCATATATCTTTACGTTTCAGAGGTTTCTTAACATTTTGGCCTTACCTTAGAGAAAATGTATGTATGTGTGTGTGTTTGTGCGTATGGGACACGAATCAACCGATTAGAATAATTCAAAAAACATTCGATTCGTTTTGATGATTAGACGTGCTGATTAGTTTTTGGAAAAGGCAGGTCTAGTCGTTCCAAAGATACGGGGCCTTGAGACATTGAGAGTCTGAGAACTGCTGGACGTGCCTTCCCAAAAATTTAATCAGTTATTCATCTTGTCAATGCAAGTAAAATGATTTTTGAATTATTAAAATCGGACGCTCCGTTCTCTTAAAAACTGAGTTATCGGTTTTGGCACTTTTTGCCTCGTAACTTCGGAACTACGAGACCTGCCTGCGCCAAAACCTAATCAGCACGTTTCCTTATCAAAACAAATCAAATGTTTTTTAAATTATTCAAATCGGTTGATCGTTGTTCCCGACACACACACACATACACACATACTCACTCATAGTGCACAAACACATACATCCATTTTTTCTAAAGTATGCCAAAATATACAGAAACCTTTGAAACGTAAAGATATATAAAAATTTTCATTTTCGATTTTTTGCGATTACTATAACTTGCCTTGCGGTAAGTTAAAAATCATTTTTTCCAAAATTTCAAAACTGTCAAAAAAATTTTTTTCAGTAAAAAAAAACGTTATCTTACACGATGCCATACACCACCAGCTTTATGAAAGGATCAGTCGAGCCGTTTTTTTTAATTTTAGTCTACGTTTTTGTAATAAAATGTTGTTTTTTTTTTTTTTTTTGAATGCGATTTAACATGACAATAGTATTCATGGTCCAAAGCTAAACAAAAATTCTATAAAAATGTTATATGCAGCGGGTAAGTCCATAAAAAGGTCACGAAAAATGACATGCCTTCTCATGGTGGCCAAAAATTGAAATGATTGCCCTAGAGCCACATGCTTCTTGACATATTGACAAGTTCCATTCACTCTCACTGTTGAAGAATGTTAGTGTTTTATATAATCACAATTTTTAATTGTGTAATATAATATATAAGATATCATATTATTAAATTATATCCATCCTGACTGTAAATATAATGCATATTAATAGTAGCATACAAAATTAAAATTTTTACGTTCTTTATTCGACTTTCTTACCTCTGTTAATTTTAAAACAATATAAGATACACAAAGAGAAATGAAGGAAAACATGTGAAATATAAATTTCAACTAATTTATAGCTTAAAAATGCACCTATTAGACTAAAACAAATATTGACAGGCGCTGAAGAATAATTACAAAGAATAGATAGGACAAAATCTGGGCAACGAGTTTTTCTTCAAATCCGTCTTACAAAAAGTAATTGAATTGTAAAAACTGCAATTAGGAATTGCAGCAGATATTATAAGTATGTTTGAAAGTTATAGTAAATGGAACAAAAATATATGAATTGGGAATAGCATTGATTAGTTTCTAGAGAAAGCAAAAACCTTATTATCGAAATAAATAAATAGCTAAATTTTAATTCTCTCTCATTAAGTCTGTTATTTACGCGTATTGGGAATAAGTTTGTAAAACTTTCTTTACATAATATAAGGCAATAATCTATTTACATCATTCTATGGCAAAGTTTAGAAAAACCGAGTAGTTAATTGTATGACTTTTCTTGGCATTTGAAGTTATTTGAATTTATTTTATATAAAAATTGGAAAAAGTATGTGTTTATGTGAGTTTTTCTCGAAAACTGCTGCAACGATTTCAAAAGAAATCGTGTTAATTAGCTGTGTGAGACGGTCGATCAAACCATTTCCTTATAATTAATAGATATAAGCACAATTTTGCGTCAACATTTTAGCTCAAAATCTTGAACCTGCTTGAAAGATATTTAACGTTGCGCACTAAAACGGGGGCACACGAAAGAGAACGTGTTGCATATTTTAAATGTCTCTTGAACCAGACAGGACTGAATACTCCGGCAAGATGTCATGCTTAATAAAATGTACATTGCGCACAAGTTTGTATATGAAAAAATTAATAATAATTAATTAAAATAATAATTTCATTAAATGTTTATGACATCACACTAGTGGTGT